GAGTGACTGGTCAAACCTAGCTGAGTGACTGGTCTAACCTAGCTGGTCAAACCTAGCTGAGAGACTGGTCAAACCTAGCTGAGTGACTGGTCAAACCTAGCTGAGTGACTGGTCAAACCTAGCTGAGTGACTGGTCAAACTTAGCTGGGTGACTGGTCTAACCTAGCTGGTCAAACCTAGCTGAGAGACTGGTCAAATCTAGCTGAGTGACTGGTCAAACCTAGCTGAGTAACTGGTCAAACCTAGCTGAAAGACTGGTCAAACTTAGCTGGGTGACTGGTCTAACCTAGCTGGTCAAACCTAGCTGAGAGATTGGTCAAATCTAGCTGAGTGACTGGTCAAACCTAGCTGAGTGACTGGTCTAACCTAGCTGAGTGACTGGTCAAACCTAGCTGGTCAAACCTAGCTGAGTGACTGGTCAAACCTAGCTGAGTGACTGGTCAAACCTAGCTGGTCAAACCTAGCTGAGTGACTGGTCAAACCTAGCTGAGTGACTGGTCAAACTTAGCTGGGTGACTGGTCTAACCTAGCTGGTCAAACCTAGCTGAGTGACTGGTCAAACTTAGCTGGGTGACTGGTCTAACCTAGCTGGTCAAACCTAGCTGAGTGACTGGTCAAACCTAGCTGGTCAAACCTAGCTGAGTGACTGGTCAAACCTAGCTGAGTGACTGGTCAAACCTAGCTGGTCAAACCTAGCTGAGTGACTGGTCAAACCTAGCTGAGTGACTGGTCAAACCTAGCTGAGTGACTGGTCAAACTTAGCTGGGTGACTGCTCTAACCTAGCTGGTCAAACCTAGCTGAGAGACTGGTCAAATCTAGCTGAGTGACTGGTCAAACCTAGCTGAGTGACTGGTCTAACCTAGCTGAGTGACTGGTCAAACCTAGCTGGTCAACCCTAGCTGAGTGACTGGTCTAACCTTAGCTGGGTGACTGGTCTAACCTAGCTGGTCAAACCTAGCTGATAGACTGGTCAAATCTAACTGAGTGACTGGTCAAACCTAGCTGAGAGACTAGTCAAATCTAGCTGAGTGACTGGTCAAACCTAGCTGAGTGACTGGTCAAACCTAGCTGAGTGACTGGTCAAACCTAGCTGAGTGACTGGTTAAACCTAGCTGAGTGACTGGTCAAACCTAGCTGAGTGACTGGTCAAACTTAGCTGGGTGACTGGTCTAACCTAGCTGGTCAAACCTAGCTGAGAGACTGGTCAAATCTAGCTGAGTGACTGGTCAAACCTAGCTGAGTGACTGGTCAAACCTAGCTGAGTGACTGGTCAAACCTAGCTGAGTGACTGGTCAAACTTAGCTGGGTGACTGGTCTAACCTAGCTGGTCAAACCTAGCTGAGAGATTGTTCAAATCTAGCTGAGTGACTGGTCAAACCTAGCTGAGTGACTGGTCTAACCTAGCTGAGTGACTGGTCAAACCTAGCTGGTCAAACCTAGCTGAGTGACTGATCAAACCTAGCTGAGTGACTGGTCAAACCTAGCTGGTCAAACCTAGCTGAGTGACTGGTCAAACCTAGCTGAGTGACTGGTCGAACTTAGCTGGGTGACTGGTCTAACCTAGCTGGTCAAACCTAGCTGAGTGACTGGTCAAACCTAGCTGAGTGACTGGTCAAACCTAGCTGGTCAAACCTAGCTGAGTGACTGGTCAAACCTAGCTGAGTGACTGGTCAAACCTAGCTGAGTGACTGGTCAAACCTAGCTGAGTGACTGGTCAAACTAAGCTGGGTGACTGGTCTAACCTAGCTGGTCAAACCTAGCTGAGAGACTGGTCAAATCTAGCTGAGTGACTGGTCAAACCTAGCTGAGTGACTGGTCAAACCTAGCTGAGTGACTGGTCAAACTTAGCTGGGTGACTGCTCTAACCTAGCTGGTCAAACCTAGCTGAGAGACTGGTCAAATCTAGCTGAGTGACTGGTCAAACCTAGCTGGTCAAACCTAGCTGAGTGACTGGTCAAACCTAGCTGAGTGACTGGTCTAACCTAGCTGGTCAAATCTAGCTGAGTGACTGGTCAAACCTAGCTGAGTGACTGGTCTAACCTAGCTGAGTGACTGGTCAAACCTAGCTGGTCAAACCTAGCTGAGTGACTGGTCAAACCTAGCTGAGAGACTAGTCAAATCTAGCTGAGTGACTGGGCAAACCTAGCTGAGTGACTGGTCAAACCTAGCTGAGTGACTGGTCAAACCTAGCTGAGTGACTGGTCTAACCTAGCTGGTCAAACCTAGCTGAGAGACTGGTCAAACCTAGCTGAGTGACTGGTCAAACCTAGCTGAGTGACTGGTCAAACCTAGCTGAGTGACTGGTCAAACTTAGCTGGGTGACTGGTCTAACCTAGCTGGTCAAACCTAGCTGAGTGACTGGTCAAATCTAACTGAGTGACTGGTCAAACCTAGCTGAGAGACTAGTCAAATCTAGCTGAGTGACTGGTAAAACCTAGCTGAGTGACTGGTCAAACCTAGCTGAGTGACTGGTCAAACCTAGCTGAGTGACTGGTCAAACCTAGCTGAGTGACTGGTCAAACCTAGCTGAGTGACTGGTCAAACTTAGCTGGGTGACTGGTCTAACCTAGCTGGTCAAACCTAGCTGAGAGACTGGTCAAATCTAGCTGAGTGACTGGTCAAACCTAGCTGAGTGACTGGTCAAACCTAGCTGAGTGACTGGTCAAACTTAGCTGGGTGACTGGTCTAACCTAGCTGGTCAAACCTAGCTGAGAGATTGGTCAAATCTAGCTGAGTGACTGGTCAAACCTAGCTGAGTGACTGGTCTAACCTAGCTGAGTGACTGGTCAAACCTAGCTGGTCAAACCTAGCTGAGTGACTGGTCAAACCTAGCTGAGTGACTGGTCAAACCTAGCTGGTCAAACCTAGCTGAGTGACTGGTCAAACCTAGCTGAGTGACTGGTCAAACTTAGCTGGGTGACTGGTCTAACCTAGCTGGTCAAACCTAGCTGAGTGACTGGTCATACCTAGCTGAGTGACTGGTCAAACCTAGCTGGTCAAACCTAGCTGAGTGACTGGTCAAACCTAGCTGAGTGACTGGTCAAACCTAGCTGAGTGACTGGGCAAACCTAGCTGAGTGACTGGTCAAACCTAGCTGAGTGACTGGTCAAACCTAGCTGAGTGCTGGTCAAACCTAGCTGAGTACTGGTCAAACCTAGCTGAATAAATGGTCAAACCTAGCTGAGTACTGGTAAAACCTAGCTGAGTACTGGTCAAACCTAGCTGAATAACTGGTCAAACCTAGCTGAGTACTGGTCAAACCTAGCTGAATAACTGGTCAAACCTAGCTGAATAAGTGGTCAAACCTAGCTGAGTAACTGGTCAAACCTAGCCGTGCATCTTGTCAAATCTATCACGCCAACTTCTGAGATACTGTGTTGCACAAAGTTGGATGATTACGTTGCTATCCGTTGTATACAAACTTATATTATAGGTTATTTTATCAGGTGTATATTATTAGAATCTAATGCATCTGATGCATAACATAAGATGTAGGCTCATATAATTAGATATAAGCCAATACCATATTAGATGTTGGCACATATCATTATACTTTCTTATGACAAGTACATCAATAACATATATGCTTACATCATTAGATTTAGATTTATTTGGCACATATTATTAGACTTTTTTTATGACAAGTATATCATAACATGTATGCCTGCATTATTTAAGATTTATATGACACATATCATTAGATGTTTCTTATAACAAGTATATCATAACATGTATGCCTGCATCATTGGATTAATTAAGATCTATATCTAAAACCATAAAACTTACCAGTATATACAAACAACAAACATATGGTCCATAAATTAACGAACAAGCCTGATGCATCAACGGGTTTGACATTATGGGAAATAACAAACAATTTACACGGTATCAAGAAAATCAAACACCAATTTGATAAATGAGCTGATGATATATATGAGGTTACTATAAAAAATTAACAGAAAATCATAAGTTTTAGAAATCAACGGATGATATGTGAGAGGTAACCATTAAAAAATCACAGAAATTACAAGCATGTTTTAGAAATCAACGGATGACTTAAAGGGAGATAACCAACATTTTACAGGGGTCAAGAAATTCACAAGCTGTCTCTTACATGAATGGATTAAATATTCTTACCCCTGGCGTTGAAAAATGACATTCTAACAGTCATGCAAATTCGATACGCCGTTAATTGACAAATGGGAGGTAACCATAAAGCCAATCGCTCTAGTTTCTAAAAATGTTTTTTAAAACTCTGCCTTTCTTTAAGCAACAACCAAAAAACCTGGTGCCTAAAATAAACACCTATAAAATACATAATTTGAAAGGTAAGTCGTAATTAAAAAGTCGCAGTATTAAATCTTATCAAATACATTCAAAATTCATATATGAAGCAATACAGCAAAGAGTGTCAAATATGCCTAGAAAGAGTTGAGAGGGTTATGTAAATCTATTTTTTTAAAACGTACTGTTGTTAGTCGTGTTGGTTTGTCACCAGAATTTTGAAAGGTAAAAAACCTGTTAAAACCAATATCTTGTTACACACACACAAAAAAGAAAACTACTCAAAACATTTCTACAGTAATAATTGTAAGCCTATTTTCTCCAATTAAGCATCGCAGATCGGAGCTTATCTGAGAAAATATAGGTTAAGAAATCTAATCTTTATAGTTTCAGTTTTCTTGTTGTTGTTGTTGTTTTTAATTTAAAGCATTAGTTAAGGATGTATTTATTTTGATTCTGCTGTAACCCAGGCATTTTAGTGAAATTTAACCAGTTACTTTAATTTTAAAGAATATTATTTTTTTCATAATTTCTTAACTTGAAACTGAAACTGATGGTAAAGAAAAAGTTTATTATTTGTAAACTACAATTATAAATTCATAAAACCGCTCTGAATCACTACGATGCCTAATTATTTATCATTATCAATGGCATAGATAGATCATTAAAAATAACATTTTGCTTCAACATTGACAAGGTCCTGGCCTTTGCGTATTTAATGTTACATATTTAGATAGAGTAGCTTCCCTTTCATCTTGTAAACAAATATGATAAACTAAAAGAACGATACACACGTGCTAGAATAACTTACAATTTCTATAAAAATCTACTGCTTCAACTCTTTATTGTTCCTCTAAAATAATGGCTGGATTAGATTTTGCAAAACGTATGCTGAAAAAACAAGGCTGGACAGAAGGTATGTCAACAAAGGTCAAAGACCAAAGACGGAATGACAGATCGGATCGGAATCTATCGTTTTTTACTATTTTAGATCATTTTAGGGTCTAGCTCAGGGGTTCCCAACTTTTTTTTTACTCTAGAGCACATTCTAAAATATCGGCAGGGTGGCGGGCACACCACCTCTTTTAAAACGACAAACTCCTTCCAGATTTTCACCCCCTCCCCTTCAAACTTTCGATTTCCATCCCGTTCAACCTTTCAATAATGTTTATGAAAAAAATTATGTCTCTGTCGAATAGTGAGAGGCGGGCACATGCGAATCGTTCGGCGGGCGCCATGGCGCCCGCTGGCACGGGGTTGGCAAACCCCTAGTCTAGCTAGTAGCTAGCTACTACCGCTACTAGATCTAGCTAGAATCAGAATGCTAGATCGACGTAAAATCTGCCGAGACTAGATTCTACAGGGTTCGTACGCAGTCTGGAAAGTCTGGAAAAAGTCTTGAATTTAGAAAAGTGAATTTAAGACTTAAAAAAGTCTGGAAAATCGCTAGTTTTTGGGCAGGATTTTTTAAAAGTCTGGAAAAAGTCTGGAATCTAGTTTTAGAAACAAAACTTCGTAGTCCATATTTTCCAACTTAAAAACAAATGTTTTTTTTTTTAAGTGAATTTACTCCAATTTTTTTCCCCGCGCTATCGCGCGGGTTTACACTGTACTGTGACGTTTTTCCGCTGGTTTGCAGAAAAAAGACGGATGCTCAGTTACTACGTCATTGGGAGAAGAGGGGAAGGGAGGGAATAGATATTTTGTGGCACGACTAACCGTGTGAATGTGTTACAAGTACGTACAATTGTCATTTAATGAAAGAATGATCGCCGTCATGATTGTTAGGCTCTCGATTTTACCCGCTATTTTTTCATCGTTAACAAAATTTATGGGGGAGATGTGTGAGTGGTTGTTTAGATATAATGTATCAGTCTGTAAGGCGTCATCCGTTTATGACTTACAACAATTTTTCCGATTTTAGACCCACCCCCTTTCCCCTTTCCCCACTCCTCCTCCCCCCCCCCCCCCCCCCTCTGTCCACACGCGTTCACTTACTTTGGATTAATATTAACATTTATAAGATTAATAAGTCGCAAGGCCTCCTTGGGTTCATACCTGTATTTCTGTTTGCTTCAGCTTAACAAAGAGGTACTATTTTTATTTAGGAGTAGTCCATAAATGACGTCACACTCCGGAAAGTCGGGAGGAGGGTTTTATAAAGTGTGACGACACGTTCTTGCAATAATGTTAAGGCAGATATAAATACCGTGTTTTACTTACACGCTGTGATGGTTTTTAAAACACCAGCACAGTCGTCTTAATTTTACTTTCTACTTGCAAGATACAAGTTTTATGTTTGTTTTAGAATGTAATCACAAAATCTTCCGACCCCTTCCCCCCTCCATGTGTACGTCATAAATGGATGACCCCTTTAATTTTAATTCACCTTCCATTAAACTATTTTTGATATCTTTGCAAATGCTGACGATTAAAGTTAGACTACCCCGCCCCTCCTTGCAACATCGGTTACTTGTGTGAACTCACCGTGACCCCAAGTTGGTAGTTGGTACTGCTTGGTAAGTAGGGTGGGGGAGGGGGTATAAGTCACAGCACAGTTCATGTTATACTGAAGTCTAGACCACTATGACCTCACAGTGACCGCTTCACCATGTCTGTGGGGGGGGGGGGAGGATACCGGCAATTTTTTTTATTGTAGACCCGTTTCTCAGCTATTACTATAAGCACATACAGTTTTTTTTTTTTTTTTTTTTGCACCATATTTTTTTTTTACAAGTAGCCTATAGGCTACTTAACAAGAGCAGACCTAAATTAATACATTACATTATTATTCTTTAAAGTAATTAACTCTCACTATTATGCAATACCATTTTAATGATAGTTTAATTGAAAACATAAGCAATTAGATCAGGAACAGATTACATAAGTCTAATGTTGGAAACAAAATAGTTGCATCATTTTAATCAATTTTTTAATTGTTAAAATTTTAGGTAGGGTGGAGTAGGCAAACTTAGAAAAGTGATTTTCTGTCAATTCGGCTAGAGAAAGTTCACTATGAATATAGCTCAATTGCCTAAAATAAATGTCAATTTAGTATAAGTAATTATAATGACAGTACAAATAGTGCATCATTTAAAAAAATTATTCGCTAACACATTATCTGTCTAAAGTCTGGAATTTTTCCAAAAAAGTCTGGAAAATGTCTGGAAAAAGTCTGGAATTTCATTTTCAAAAAACAGTATGAACCCTGATTCTAGTAGTCTATGTGGGGGAAAAAAAAGGTGACTAACTAATTTTGGTGATCTATCGTTTTATGTGCGTAAAATCGGCAGAGGCTAGTAATGTACGAAAAAGTTCCCTCATTGTTAAAGCTTTATCTGACTTTATCAGAAGTAGGGCCTATAATAATACGAAGTGACTACTCGGAAGAAGATTTTTCTCCCAAACGTCTCCACTTAGTGACCTATGGCTAGAGTTAGGGATAGGATTAGGGTTGGCATTAAACAATGCCCACCATATTTTTAGTACTTGTTCTTCATGCAAAAATACAACTTTTGTCCTGAGGGAATTGTGATGGCTTTCATAGAAAAAAGTATTTGGTAATTAATATGCAAATTTTAACACTTTTGAATATCAAAAAGGGTACGATTTTTTAGACCATGTAAAATTCTTACTAGTAGCTATTTCAAAACGTTGTGACAAAAGTTTTAATATATACTAAAATATACCTAAGCAGTTTAAATTGGATTGCTATAAGTACATAAATAAAAAAGCCTTAGCATTTTTAAAAGTACTGAAATATTAAAAATGGTGGAGGTTTTTTCGGGTTTCCATGACAACCGAAATTGTTTTCAACCCTTTTTTTGCTGTTTAATACTTACTTTCATGGTCCAAACATGGTAATAGTATTCAAAAGACTTTAGATCTTAAATTGTAAAAAATAGAAGAAATAAACTGCCCATATCCCCTTAAAACACTTAAAATTAAATCTAGTTCATATTAAACTCATTTGACTTGGTACATGCACAAATAGTGACAGACTCACATACATAGCTCTCTTACTTTCAAAATTCTTAGACCTGGTAGATTTTCCAAATTATCTTGAAGTTTAAGTAAATTTAGGGTCCTCCAGTTCAGGGGGCAGACAAAGCAAAAGGCTTCCAAAAAAATATATTGCTATAAAGCTATTCTTTTAGGCAGTATTTCTAAATTTCAAATTGTTTTTTTTTTTAAGGCTCAGGACTGGGAAAGAAAGAAAATGGCATGTCTGAACCTATCAAAGTTTCCCTCAAAATGGACAAAGCTGGAGTAGGTTGAGTTTTTACTCAAATTGAATAAAAAGTATTCCTATATATGCTTGCTATGTTTGGTACATTCCTGCATTGAAATATATTTATTACATTTTTATGATTATATTATCTTAAAAATGTGTCCAGCTTAATACTGAGCTTATCTAAGAATAAAGATACAACTGTTACAGGACTTGCTAATCAAACACAGCAGTGTATTTTAAACTTTTTAATTTTTGTGTGATGATTGAAGGTTTATAAATTTAAGTTTAAATTTACTTTTGAATTCTAGGTTGGCCATGACCCAGGCAAAGAGTTTACAGATCACTGGTGGTTAAGGGTTTTTAATGAAGCTGCTCAAAAGATTGGAAAACAAAAGGTAGCAATAGTTACAATGTCCATTTTGTGATGTGACACCATGCTAAGTAGAATCTTTTAACTTGACAACTAAAGCCTATCTATAATAATGTACACTAGTTTTCAATGTTTTCTTTATTAACTTTATTACATATACCAGGTACACTATCCTATTATGTTAGCATTGCCTGAAAAATTGTGTAATCCTCTGCATGTTCATTAGAAATTTGAATGCTATATTTACTCTAAATGGTCTACATTATTACATTTCTAAATTGGTATTCTTCATCTAATCTTGACATTCTTAGCTACAACTTTTCAACATAACAGTAACACATTGAATTCAAATTTATATTTATTATTTCTGCAGGATGACAAGGAGCAAAAACCCAAGACCACATCAGTAAATGTTTATAAGGGATTTGTTCAGGTAATTTTCATAATTCTAATTTTTGTTTTTCAACTTTGAGTAGTTTTTTACTTGAAGTAGTTTTAATTTAATGTAAATAGCCTCATCAATTGATGTCACAATACCTATTCCTACTTGAAATGTAATAAATTTACTTGAATCTTGTCGAAATTGATTTTTGTAATTAAAATGCTATTCTTTTACAAAATTGTTAAATATTTTCTTTCAGAGCTCAACATTAACAAATGGTGTAGAAGAGGATAACAAAAATGACTCAGACTCCAGTGAAGATGAACCAGGAGAAGCTGTTAGGTAAAAAAAAATTAAAATTTTTGTAAAAAATCTTGCTGAGGCTGAAGTTATAATGTGTTAGAAATTAAAATTAATTATATTTAAAGATTATTTTTTATTAAATTATTATTTTATGGTTACATATCTGTTATTTAAGCATACCCACTTTGGATGACATTCACAAGTTTTGTGGTGGTGCAACAGGACACAGGTTTGTTTTATATAACCTTTAAATCATTGTTTCAAATTCTTAATCCATTTTATCAAATTACCACCTGCATTTTAAAGCCAGGATTATTTACCTTGCTGTCTAGGTTACATGTTGTGTTTAATATTAAATGCAAATTTTTAAAATGTACTCATGGCCTGCCTATATTTAAGTGGGTTTTCTCTTTTTGAATTTGATTCCCTGCTTAAGATCTAAGAGAGATAATGCAATATATTTATTTTTTTCATAGGGCTGCAATGTTTGGAATAAAAATGAAAGGGAAATTGAGCAGAGTTGCAGCGCAAGATCAGAAATTTGAGGAAACTTTAAACAGAAAAAAATCATCCAAGACAAATGAAACTGCTGATATAAATCCTAATGTTGAAGTAACAGAAGGTAGAGTCTCCAAGAAAAAGAAGAAGAAAAAGAAGTCAGCAGATGAAGATGTCAACAGCCATAATAGTAGTTCTACAAGTCCTGCTGAAGTATATGGTAAAGAAGAAATTAATCAAAATATAGAGAAGAAAAGGAAAAGTAAAAAAAGGACAGTTGCTTCTGAAGATAAGGAAGCTTTAAGCAATGTTGAAGTCACAGAAACAGTAACAGAAACATGTAAAAAGAAGAAGAAAAAGAAGAAAAGAAAGTTGGAAGATGAATGTGAACCTAGTCTAGACTTAATGACACAAGAACAGAATGAGACAACAGCAGTAGATCATCTAGAAGTAATTAAAAGAAAAAAGAAGAAAAAGAAAGAAAAGTTATGATGACAATTATAGTTTTAGGTTGCTAAAAATTATAATGATATATTTAATTATTACAACAAATGCTTTTATCTGTTAATGACTAAATACTAAACTGATACTGTAATTAGGCCTTTATTGCTTGTTTCTGGTTATTCACCATTTAATTTTGACAAAATGAAATTTTATGTACATTTTTTATTCAATTATAGATTTGGATGTTACTTTTGAAACATAATATACTTAAAATGTGAATAACAAAAATATGAGTTACCGTAAATAAATAAAGCCCTAAATATGACACATATTTTTAGTTTGTGGTGATTGTTTTATAATAACCATAGGCTATATATTTTGTAGTGTGACTATAGTGACATAGTCCAGGGGTCGGCAACCTTTTGAGATGAAAGAGCCAAAAGTTACAATTTACAAAATTTTCCAGTTTTTAAAGAGCCACTAATATTATTATTCAAATACTCTGGTATTTGATTAGAATTAGGTAAATCAATTTAATTGTTTATTTGAAATAAATACCTTTAAATATGAACTAATATTGATTGATAGAAAAACATGTTTCGCACAAAAAAGTGTGCTAGCTAGCTCTGCTATGATTAAGTTAGTAATCAAATAATATAACTATAGGACAATCCCAATCCACTTTAGAAGCCAATAACTTTGTTTTTTCTTCTTTACGGACCCCACTGGCTCAGGAGGTGTCTCCTATAGCCAAGTAGCCCTCAACTCTGACTAACTGGCTTAGATATAGGTTTGATAACTGTATCGGTCGCTTCTGTCCTTCGTTTCTCGCAGTGCTTATCTTCCACCCTACTTGTTCCCCACAGTCTAGTACCTGGCTCCACCGTAGAAAGTTAATAACTAAAATACTTTGGTAGAGGGATGCATTTTGAATAAAATAACAATCCTGTTTAAAGTTGTTTTTCTTTAAAGTATAATATTTTTATAAGTTTTGAAAATGAAATAATATAACTATTAATATTTGTGCAAGGAACTGGAGAGCCGCACCTTGACATCAAAAGAGCCGCATGCGGCTCGCGAGCCTCAGGTTGCCGACCCCTGACAGTCATTTTAAAAAATTACTATGGCCATTGGTCTATTTATTATAAATTACTACAAGTGGGTTGGATCAAATGCTAATTGGATAGTTTGGCAGCATTGCACTTTTTTTTCTGTATTTGTAAATAAAAAGATAGAGACAGAAACAGCTCTTCAGCCCACAGTTGTATGACTACTAACATTTTAAAAATAATACTTTTTAAAAAAAATATTCTCTCCATACAAAAAATAAACTTTTATCACTAAAGAAAGTAATAAGGTAGAGGGATGCTGAATGGTGGGATGTTACCACTGACGACAGCTAACTGTAAGTCTTGATTCTGACGACTATCCAGTGAAACAAATGCTGCTGGGAAAAGTGCTTACCTCATCCACCTTGCATGCCTAGATCGTTGAAACAGATTAACTCTAACTTTATCTACTCCATGTACCTTGCTTGTGCTCAAATGGGAAAAGATGATGAGATAATTTAAATATATCAAGAGTTTTTATTTGGATTGTTAATTTATCTTTTAAAGCATTCTAGATTAACTTTTTAATACTTGAGAAAGTTTTTTCCAATCATAGACTTACTACATCTGCATCAATTAAAAGTAATATTTTAGTTAGTACACAAAATCAACTTCAATGGGGGCTCCAAAATTCAAGTTTTGTGGACATGTAAATTTACGTTCCCATGGTACGATTTAAGCAGCTGTCAGTTGCATGCACACAAACCAAAAATGTTTCCTGTTATTTTCCATTGTGGACAGTTTGTTGTGCTAAAAAAAAGTTGCACACTAAAGTATCATCTAAGCGTGCATAATTTTTTACTATGCTTGGTTTTGTTTTTCCTATTTACCATGGCTAATAATGTTTATAATTTACATATTAAACACATAAAAACAAGTGTAGTTGAAGTACTTTTTATTAACTTTAAATTAAGTACTGGTACTTAACGCATATGCAATTTTCAAACACACTATTAAAAATATATACAATTTGTTCTTGCCTCGGTGGTATAGAAGAATGGTTTTAACAAAAGAAATTTACCGACTCAATGAAATGCTAAAGCACAGGCTGATGATTACCTATCACTATAAGAGAGTCAAAACAGCATAAAACAATAATTGGAAAATAAAAGAAATAAAACAATCTAAAATAATTAAAAATCTACAGCTTGCTTGATTTTAAATTAAGTATTGTCAAGCCCTAAAAGTAAAAAATATTATGTACATGTAATTATTTTGTTAAAAATTCTGCACTTATTAAAAGCCATAAATAAACGTTTTAGAGTTGAAGGTTTTGAAACTATTTTTGAAGTCAAACTTGTTCCTGGTTACTTGCATAAATATTACAACAATTAGATCTAAGCCCCATAAGAATGCTTCTTTCATATTAATAATTGTATTTTTGAACAAGAGATTTTTCAGGTGTCTAAAAATCTTAAAACATCACAGCTTAGTTTATTAAATTACAAGAACTTTACTTTTTTTTTTAAAAACAGAATTCATCAAATCTTTGCATATATAAAAATGACTTGCATAAAACTTAAAGGCACTTGTAAAGCATCATGTATATATACATATTTAAAAATACATTTGTGGGCAGTAACACCAAAAGAGAACAATAGCTTTTTAAAAATGTTATACCATATCTCTATATTTTAACAGTATACATTTTTAATACAGGCATAAGTTTTTAGTTCGTTCAAAATGCCTATCTGTGAGATGTGGCAATTCTTGCAGAGATTTTTTTTTTCTAGCTTTCCAGATACATCTGTCTCCAGTGAAAATGCAAAAATATCTATTTATTAATCTAACTAGACATTAGGGTAGTCATTAAAATTTAATTTAATAATTTACTAAGTTCAGTTTTATTTAAAAGGGGAGATAATATAAAATACTCTAGATATTACAATCAGATGGTCATCAGAGGTAAACTGAACTTTTTTTACAGCTGAGTGATTTTATTGCATGGTCATGGACTAAGAAGTAGCAGATAATTGTCTTTTAATGATTTAGAGCTACTGAATGGGGCTTTAACATAAGGAATTTTTAGTCAAAGCCTCTTTATTTAGTAAAAGATTACTAAAAAGTGGAAAATAAATATAAAAGCCTTTTTAATAAGCTTTTAAATGCACTGAAAATAAAAAAAACTTGCTTTCTCTAATCAAAGCTTTTGAGTGATTAAAGCTCTAAATAAAGATATCAATTTTATTTTTAGTGCATTATTATAAGATTATTATAAAGATTTTTATTTTATTATTACAAATGACTTCTAATGGAGGTCAGTACAATAAACGTTAACTGTCTATGCAAAAAATATTGCTTATAAAAAGTTTATAAGAATCCTGCAAAATAATCTAAGATATTCCAGTTTCTAGAGATATAATTTTGTAGCGTAAATTGTATGGGCACATATTTTTCCACGGAGAAATATCAAGACCCTCGTGTTTTAAATGTCTGTTATTTACACTAGTAAAATTTTCTGAAGAACTGGCAGCAACAATATGTCTGTCTCTTTTCTGTTTCAACTTTGCAAAATTTGTATGTGCTGGTCTAACTATTCGTGATCTCAGACCAATCTCCTTTGGGGAAGATGTTCTATTTTTCTGGATATCAGTGATATTTGCTAACAGGTTAGCACTGTTCGATGGCTGTTTTCCAAAGTCATTGTGGCAGTTTGCCATTGACTCCTTGAGATCAGATTTTTGTGACAGACTGTTTGGCTTATCTTTCATTACTTGTGATGAGTTAGAAATGTTTATAGATCTGCAAAAAGAAAGGGTAAAAATTGAAACAAAGTTCAATTAAATCAATTTAAAAAAAAAAAAATTAAATCTATTATAATATATTTATTACAAAATAAAGTGCAATTTTTACATACATTTCTTGGAAAGGTTGTCTCTTAATGTGAGTCAAAGATTGCTTGCTATCCAGTGAGCTATTTTCATCAATGGTTCTTTTCTGCCGTAATCTTCTCTGTACAGGGGTATAGTTAAATTGAAAAATCAATTACAACATAGATAAAGAAACATTACATTTTACTTAAAAACGTAATAGTATTACTGGACTAGAACAAAATACCTTAATTGGTGTAGGTCCAGACTGAGCAGATTTTAACACCTGCAATTCTCTATTTGCTGCAAGAAAGATTTCTATCAATAACTGACACAATAAATATTGAATGAGAAAAGAAAGTTTGTAAAATTGTTTTATTGATATTCACTTAGGTACTTAGTACTATTGATCTAGTATTAGACTGATATGCCAAATTTTCTCAACTACAGTAACTCAAATTTTCAAATGGACTAGCAAACCCTGATGAATTTTATTCCTTCATATACCACCTTTGGAAATTAAATATGTTTATTATACCAAAAAAATTTAATATTACCTTTCTAAAAACCACTAGAAAAACATTTAGCTGCAATTGCTTCTGTAAAGTGTCATTTACTTAACATTTTCCCCAGCTGAACTGACATTAAAACAGGTGATCCCCCCAAAACACACCTTCACATTGGTAAAAAAGTAAAGTTCCCTTTTCAAACCTGACAGTCTATAAGGCAAGTGAAGTAGAGTTCACTGGTTTCTGTTACCTCGGCATATAAAGATAGTGTGGTCAGCACTATGCCCAGACGCCTTTACTTTCCCTAACGTGAGTTAGGTACCCATCAGAGTTGGGTGGACTCTGGGATGGTCTACTGACTTAAACCCGGATTCAAACTCGAGACTTACGGGTTAGCAGTCCAGCTCTCTACCACTAGACCACTCTTCCCCCTCACACTGGTATTATTCCTTAAATATTTTTTTTTAGAGAATGTGTACAGACAAAATGTTTTTAAAATTTTAATCAGCAAACAGCCGCTAATTTTAAAAATAAATGAGATATTGTGATTTTGGTGCTCACTTATTGCTTTTCAATTAAACACAAGCATGCTGCCTGAATTTATAAAACTCACCAAGTTCAATTGCACAAGTTAAATACTCCAGCTGGCAAACACGCAGACTCAGTTTAATGTCTTTAGCACCCGACTTCCTCAGCAAGGTGGGTGTTACAAAACTTGACTGAAATGTTGCCAGCATCACACCTGAGTTACAAATATCCCAGAGCCTTTGACAAGCCTTTAAAGATGAAAGTCGAATGGTGAAACTTATGCTTCCATTACTTATATCTGTCAACTCGCCATGACTACAGACCAGTTTTATTGCATTATATGCTTCAACCGTTTCCTGTGATTGACAAGACATTTTTTAAGGAAAATAAAGTGATAACTATGTTACATATAATATACAAAACACAATAAAAGCTAAGAGTCTATCCCCTATATCTTATGATGAAAAAAAATATGAAAGATTCCTGAAACTGCGAAAATGAAAAATTTAAACACACAGATCAACTATACAGTATCAAAATTTAGGTAAATGAAACAAATAACTACCAACCTTCACAAGTTCATTTGTTTGTTGGAGCTCTTTCTTGAATTGTTCAAAACTGGATGGAGTACAATCTTTTCGCTTGATCTTGGAATATGCATCTTACAAAAATGTAAATAATAGGAACTTTAACTTTTAGAAATACAAATCAGTACAAATTATTGGAAGAAATTTCTAGCATATGTAAATAAAAATACTTAGGTAATTATTTTTTAAAGTAACCTTCAGCTATTTTCAGAATTGTGGCCTCTATCTGCTGACAGGTGCATACTTTGACTCTTTTATTGATTGGAACAACACGCTCACAATCAACATTGACACGCATTTCACCTAATTAAAGATAAAAATGCAAATGTGTTTTTGCTTAGTGTTTTGTTTAATAATTTATTTAAGTGCTTTCTTTAACTAAATAATGATAAAAATAATTCTTTTTTAAGTGTTGAAAGACAAACTAATAAAATAGGTTTTATTTATGTTTTTTACATTCATTCATCAAAACCTAAATTAAATTGCAGTCTTACTTCTACTTAATGTTTACTAAAATAACTATTTGCTTCATGGTAACTAAATGCTTTATTTAAAAGTACTTCATTTGATATTACATAATAAAACAACCATATATTATAAGACTTAAATTTTTTTAAATGTCAGAATTGTACTTGGTTCATTACCACTTTTTCTTTTTCTTGTACTGTTTTTTTCAGGTGGATCTATTATGTCAGCGAGTCCATCTTGTAATGTTTGTCGTAAGGCATCAACAAAGACATAAAAACCTCTGTCAGATCTTTTAATTAAAAGATTTAGCAGTTCCTAAAAAAAGGTTTATGACATTCAATCAAAAAGTAAAAAGTAATTGCTATAGCGATGTTTTAGTGCATACATAATGTAAGAAAACAGTCAGAATCTACGTATATAGTTATTTCTGATACCTCATTCACTAATTCAATTCCATTTTTGTCTTTTATCCTGTTGACATCACTTTCTGTAAAGATTTTTTTGGCAATAAGAAAATTGAATAAGTCACCGGGCGACATGTTTGCAACCAATATCTCACGATTGTCTCTTATTGCTTGTTTATGTTCAGGAGTCATTAACTTGTTAACTGCATCTTTTAAGGAACGGAAAAAAAATAAAGTTGAAATAGTACTTTATAGATAAGCATACTTCAACAAAACAATTTTAGTCAACTTAAAAAGTATACTTAACAGAAATTAAAATTGAGTAAACATTTAAACACTATAAAGGTAAATGGAATGGAAGATTAAACTGATGAGTGCAAATAAATAATCCTATAATACAGAACTTTTTATAATGTGACTGTGAATTAAAAACATTTAACGAAGTAATTCTGAATTACAAACTACTTGCGGTAAAAATTATCAATTTAAAGAGGAAAATGTCACCTAATTATATAAATTGAATTGAGTAGTATAAATCATGCAGTTAAATGTCTAGGTTTGAGAAAATAATGTGGGGTGGAACTTTTAAGCCTTAACACAGCTTTAAGTCAGTATTTTAAAATTGATTAAAAAGTACTAAAACAATTCCGATATGTAAAGAAACGTAAAACTACAGTTAACCTAATAAAATAAGAAATATTCTCAGTAAAATAATTTAGTGATAGATCAGTGAAAATGTTAATAAAAATGCTCCATTTCTGAACTAAAATCAGGCTGAATGTATGAGTAAGGACCTATTTTCAACTATTATTTGTAGCAAATTACAACCTGTAAATTAACATAAAAGAATTATTGGGTGATAAAGTAACCTGAAGTAGAACTTATTCTACTTTTAGCTTTTCAAAAGCCTATAACTTGAGTGCTGTTTCAGATAGAAAAATGAAATTTCATATATAAGTAAAAGATCTAATCCTCTGCCTTCTAACAAATTTCAAATGATTTACGTTAACCAACGGAAGTAATTTACTCTATTTCCGTTTTCTCAAATAACGCAAATGAATTTATAAAGTACTAATAATATTCCGCACTATTATACACATATTGTTTGCCATTCACTTGGTGGGCAATTCTTTTTTACTACGAAATTCTATTCTATTTTAAAAAGTTTAAGTAATTAAAAATGGATTAAAAATCATGTCTATTTCCCGAGTTGCCATCCCTTGTAGTGTTATATTAGAATATTTGAGAAAGTTTAGGGGAGATCACTCACGGTTTATGATTTTGATATAATGTGTAAGAAAAAATAGATATCGATTCAAACACGTCAGGGATCTCGATTGCGCTGGGCTTGTATTTTCTTTGTAAAAAATTTCTTGATCGCGTCGGTGAACGAAAGGTACACATGGTTTCATTATCGCGCTTTGTCATTCACACTATGTTTGATATTGCAGAGATATTTTTTCATTTACATAGAAAAATTGACCATCTTTCTGGCCATGCTAGTAAAAATCTTATATTTTTAGTGGATTTTGGTGAAAATTCAATTATTTTGAGAAAATTTGAGAAATTAGCCATTATTACTAAAAAAGTTTACTTAATATTTTAAACGACACTAAAGGTCATTCAATCCTGCGTACGTTAAGCTAAGTTATGGCGCTGAAGCCCAAAGCCTCAGAATAGGGGCTGTTTTTTTGCTGCTAAAAATTGATGCAGAGATGTTTTTCAAGCTACAAAAACATTTATTTTCCCTTAACCAATATAAAAACAAACAACATATTACTGTAGAGCTGAAGTTAAGCTTTCTAACCACACCATTTATATTAATATACTCTTAATTTTTATGGGAGAACTTTGTGGTGGAAAGTAGTGAAAAAGTATTGAAAATTAGCAAAAACCTCAATTTTCAGCAGTTTGGAGTACCTACTACAACCATTTCGCTTTATTGCATGTAATTATATTTCATAATTGATTTGTCATAAAAGAAAAATTTCGAAACCAATTTATTCTATCTACAGAGTTACCCCTCTTTAGCAGGGATTTTGCAGGATAATTAATCTGAAGGTGGTTTGTGTAAAATAGGTTAAGCTCAATCATTGTCTAAAAAGAAAAAGAATGTTTTATAAAAGGCAATTAAAACTTGTTCTTACTATATGAATCATCTGATCTCTGAAACTCCTCTCTTAAATCATCCAATGCAGAGCTTGATGCACCAAGTGAAGAATAACTTGCTCGGGTAGACTTCTGTTGAGCTAAAATATCATCATGAGATTGAAGTATATCTTCAGTTTCTCTATTATCTCGAGTTTTGCTCTCTTTTTGATTCTTTAAGCCGGAACCTGTTATTTATAAAAATAAGGACAAAGTGATAACAATATCAAACAAAAAATTTAGAACAGAATATTTTGATTAATATGACTGAACAAGAAACAATACTGGTAATGAATATAAAGAAATTAAAAATTACTTGAAGAACTGGATTTTGATAACTCTTCTTGCAGCAATCTTAAATGATCAAGCTTTTTCTTATATTCAACTTCTTCCTGAAAATGAAGGGAAAAAATACAGTGCATGTCATTTTACAAAGAAACATTTTTCATTAAGTGATATTGTTATTTTATAACAAGATATATTTCAAATAAGGCCTAAGATAATAATATTAAGTGAGTTAGGCCCCTAACTGAAATTTATTGTAGATACTCTTTGGTAAATGGATCAAATATAGAGCTTAACAAACATAACAAAAGATAAAGTAACAAGAAACATGATTTTTTAACCTTTTTCTTTTGAAGTCTTCTAATTTGCTCTTCAATATCTTCCACTGAATCTCTGTCAGCCATTGTCTTGTATACCAAAGGAAATATGACAACACAAATGCATTGTTTGAATGCGATTATTTGTAGATTGCTTTTACATCCTCTCTTGTAAAAATTCTGCAAAAATTGTAAGAAAAAAGATGTTTTTTAATATAAGTTTTGTCAGTTACTTGTTACAGCTAGTATTGAGTTTATAAATACCTAAATACTAAATATGGATCTTAAACTTTCATGGCTACAATACTTATATACACTATTTAACTAGCGATAAACTAAACAATTGTCGAGGTTAAAAACATTAATATTCTTGCATCATCATTGGAGATCAAAATTTCAAGAATTTAAAACAATTTCGCTGCATTGGAAGTGAAATAAAAATTGCCCCAAACCCACAGATAAAGACAGAGACAGCTACCTTAGTAATAGCTTATAAAAACTGAAGTATACATGAAGAGCATGTGCAGCACCTTATGGTGTCACACCCCCACCCCAATAATAAAAGTTTATATAAATTAAATTGGTGTCATTCCCCTCTCCCATTTTGCCAAATCACGTGAATTTGTGAACACATTATTTTATTTCAAGTAGAACATAGCAATAGCAACGTTTCATGGTTTACGTCATGGTGTGCCCACACCCCTTTCAGGGTCGTCAACTAAAAAACTTAAGACTTTTTTAACTCTATTTAATCGTTAGCCTAATTGAACTGGCAAAAACTTTCAAAAAGAATTTTTCTTCTATGTGTTTTGCAATTTTTAGTCTTGGTGCCATCCACCTAAACTAGACATCTGAGATCTACACAACAGTTCTACACTAGTTTACAGTTTAATATAAGTCTCGATTCTAGATCTAATCTAAATCTAATTCTAGATCTAGAGTAGTCACTAGAATTCCAATCTAAATCTAGAGTCTAGACTAAGTCTATTCTTCAGTAGTTGTTAGGGTCTAACTTAGAGAGTGTGTGTAGAGTGTGTAGTGTAGTCTAAGTGTATGTGTAGACTAGCACTAGAGTACTGTGTAGACTGTACTGTAGGACAGTCTGTAGGTAGAGTAGATCTAGATCTAGACCTAGAATCTAGATCTAGAGTATTCTACTTCTACAGAGATCTAGATTAGATTTCTAGTCACTAGTGACTCTGAACTCTGAGTGTAGACACTAGGTTTTTAATAATAATATCAGTCTAGTCTTAGTACTACTGAGTTTAACCGTTAACATACTCATTTTAATAAAAGATCTAAATTCTAGATTTAGTCTAAATCTAGATTCTAATATCTAGAATCTAGTCTAAACCTAGAAATCTAGAATCTAGATTCTGGAATAGAATATCAAAACCAAACAAAAATTACCGCTTCCTATTTTTGTTGAGCCTCTGCTTACCAGGCTATAGTACAATTGCATGTAGAATGTTTTTATGACATCAAATTTATTGAGATATTTAAGAGGAAAACCTACTGATAGTCTGATTTGGGTTGAATTAATATTTTTTTCAAAGATAACAGTTATTTACTTTTTATAATTTCACTTAAGGATGCTTTATTAAAATAATATCTCAAAACATTTGCTAATCCATTTTGGCAATTCGCTTACCTAAATTTAAACATCATTTTTTGTTCAAAAAGTAGACCAAATGATAAGACGATGATGGCCCGTGGCTAAAAAATGAATTTCACCACACCTTTGTTTGGTAACAGTTTTGGTTAAATATAGATCTAGATCTATATCAACTCTACTATTAATTTAATTTAAATTGAAGTAAGTTTTCAAATTTTACATTTATTAATTACATAAATTACACCATTGTAAGATGAATCGGTTGTATTTTCTCATTGACCATCCTGAATCTTCGTTAAGCTTTTTTTATACATATTCTACACTCTCTCCGTCATAAAAAAAAAAGACAGACCCCCCCCCCCCCCACACACACACACACACATGCACCGACATATAGCAAAATGGCCTAATTTATGTTGGCTTCATTCCATACAGGGGATATAATCAAGCTAGGATTGTTCGACCGAAAATAATAATTGAGCTGTTTCCCTTTGCAAAGATAACATCGAAATCGAACTTATACCGTTTTATGCGGGTCATCCATTAATGACGTCCGCGCAAAGGAAGGAGAGGGGTACCAAAACAATCGACTTTTGTTGAAGCATGTGAATTTGGCGGTGGGGGGGGGGGTCGTCCTTGTGGACGACCACATGATGGATTTAGCATCGAAGCGCTTACATTACATATTGAAACAAATTCTTACCTAGTATATATAAACAATTACATCTCTACACGTTGACTAACCCTTTTCCAGTGAAAGGCCTCATGCTTTTTGATAGTCATTGACTGGATCATGAGGAGAACAACTTCAGACCAAAAAGCTGGAATTCAGTTGACCCTCACTAAACTGCTGGAAGACCTAGATTTTGCGGTTGACATCAGCCTCCTCTCACAGCCTAGTGCAAGCTAAGCAAACTCGGCGAAGAAGCACTTAATGAAGGCTTACGGCTTACAGATTAATGGTGGGGGGGGGGGGGGAGGACAGAGGTGATGATAATTAACAATAAACAGGCGAGCTCCCACTTAGGATACAAGAAATTAATATTTTGGAGGTGGATCGCTTCACATATTTAGAAAGTGCAATGCTAGAATGGGGGAGTAGATGAGGACATCTAAGGCCGTACCCGGTGCGGCACCTAATGGTGTCGTCGTACCCCCCCCCCCCCCCACCCCCAATTTGTCGGGATTTGTCAACTTTGCTTTAAAAGACTATTTAACTAACTATAGTGAATCATTTAATTAATTAGAATTATCATCTTTAAATGGGATCAGCAAGGCCTGGTAAGCATTCAACACACTTCGTACAACGCGGACGTCGAGAGCACTATCTACGCCAGGGGTTCCCAACCCCGCGCCCGCGATTCGTATGTGCCCGCCTCTCATTATTCGACAGAGACAGAATTTATTTCATAAACATTATTGAAAGGTTGAAGGGGATGGAAATCGAAAGTTTGAGGGGGGGGGGTGCAAATCGAAAGTTTGAGGGGGAGGGGTGCAAATCGAAAGTTTGAGGGGTGGGTGCAAATCGAAAGTTTGAGGGGGAGGGGTGCAAATCGAAAGTTTGAGGGGGGGGGGGTGGGGGTGCAAATCGAAAGTTTTGTCCCCGGGTGACGGGAAGGGTCGCTACGCCTCTGGAAGGAGTTTGTCGATTTAAAATAGTTGGTGCCCGCCACCCTACTGATATTTTAGAATGTGCTCTAGAGTAAAACAAGTTAATTAAATAAACCGGGAGTGATCTCCCCTAAACTTTCTCGAATATTCTTATATAAAATAACAGGGGATGGGAACTCGGGCTATAGACATGATTTTTAATCCATTTTAAATACTTAAAGTTTTAAAAATAGAATAAAATCTCGTAGACAAATTAATTGCACACCAAGTGAACGCCAAATAAAAAAGCGCATAATAGTGCGCAATATTATTAGTACTTTTAAAATTTACAATAGTTTTTTGAGAAATCGGAAGTAGCGTAAATTATTACTTCCGGTCAACGGAAATTACTCAAAATTTGACAGAAGGTAGAGAATTAGATCTTTTACTTACATGTGAAATTTCATTTATCTATCTGAAATAGTACTCAAGTTATAGGCTTTTGAAAAATTCAAAGTAGGAAAAGTACCACTTCCGGTTATCGGAAATCGCTCAAAAGTTGATACGGATCTACGATTTTGATAAAATACTTATATATGAAATTTCATCAACCTAGCTGTAACGATACTCAAGTAATCGTGTTTACACACGGACAGACAGACACACAGACAGACACACAGACATACGGACAAGATTGCAAAATTATGTTTTTCCGTATCAGTAAGGTGTAAAACGTCGAGATTTGTAAAAATCTCGATTTTTTTTTTTTTGCACGATTACAAGACTTTCTCTATACTACGTATATACGAGAAAGTAAAAAGTCTTGTGACATTTATGCGCAATTTCCTTATGTTATCTAAAAATAGCTCTGACGTATAATGCTGGGGTGCGTTCAAGCTAGAAGAACGATCGGTTTGTAGGTGTTTATGTAATTTTAAAATTTGTGACCGAACGAGAGGATATTTTTGAAAACTTTCTTCGGCAATATTGTTCTAAATTATGACAGGAATCGATTGGTACATGTTTCAAGTCGCTAAGTGGTCTGGTTGCCGAGATATGGGCCAAAAACTAAATTTTTTCGAGGTTTTTTGGCTTTTCCGGGAAATACATGAAAGAAACCCGGAATTTTTATGGCCTATGCTCATTCTCGTAACTTGTTTAACATAATTGCTTTTGGAACTAGTCATCGATATTGCTTCGTTGAGGAGGAGATACGACTTAAAGCCCGGACACACATTCATCCATATATTCATTCATCCATCCATTCCCAGAAATGACGAGTTAATAAACGCAATTCTCCAGAATGGAAATTGCGCTAAAAAAGGTTGGGTACCCCTGATCTACGCTGTCCAAAATACTTCTGTTTAACAGCAATGTTAATCCGTTCTACACTTAGACGTGGAGAGTAACACGAACTACATTATCTACAACTACAAACGTCAGGCTTTCATTAACGCCGCATATTGAACATCAAGGGGCCTGAAAAAATACCAATGCCGAACTGCGGAGAAAAAAAACAAATACAAAAGCGCAAACTGGGATGGATCGGACACACATTTATAAACTAACCAGACAGGCTCAAGATCGAAATCCCCATGGAAAGAGGAAAGTAGTTAGCCCATAAAAAAAACACGAATAGGGTCAGTGAAGCAGAAGCAGTCGGAATAACGTGGACCCAACTTGAAGGAATCGCCCAGAACCTACTACGATGGAGAGGTGTTGTTGCGTCCCTATGCTCCACAACGAGTCCACAGGAATGATGATGCATATAAAAAGTAAAATTAGGGGTCATCCATAAATGACGTCACGCTTTTTTTGACGATACATAGAGTATTTTGATCAATTTCTATTGTAATTTATTAAAACCGTTTTCTACAACGCGAAAACTCGTTTTCTAACATTGCTTTTTTAATGCAAAAAAAGTGACGTCACAATACCTGAACCCCCCCCCCTCCCCCTCATCATACACCGTCACAAAATTACAGACCCCCTCCCTCCCCCCCTACGAGTGTGACGTCATTTATAGACGACCCCTTAAAACTACACTGCACGTATTTTAAAAAACAAACCAGGCTCAATGTGTGAGTAAATCACGAGCATCGATCGTCCATGCTATAAACGACGTAAATTTTTTGTACATCATTGAATCTAAGGTAATCAGTTTGGACGAAATATTAGTTCATTTTGTCATCCAATGTTGTTTTCATTAAGGGGTCATCCATAAATGACAACACGCTTTTTTTTTGACGATTTTTACCTCCCCCCCCCCCTTCGTCACACGTCGTCACAAAAAGCCAGACCCCCCCCCCCCCCTAAAATGACGTCAGACCTCAACCTACAACCCCCCTCAAAATTGCAGTTGAATTTTTTTAAAACATCGATATTTTTCTAAAATCTTGTCTATTACAATTTATTAAAACAGTTATCTAAAACGCGAAACAACGTCTAAAATTCGTTTTCTAACATTGCTTATTTATAATGCAAAAGTGTGACGTCGCAACATCTGAACCCCCCCTCCCCCTCATCACACATCGTCACAAAATTACGGACTCCCTCCCCCCTACGAGTGTGACGTCATTTATGGATGACCCTTAAATTATCCTTTATTAAACATAACTGACCTCGACAAACGGAAATTTTAAAAAACCTGTAAAAAGTAAAAAGACAAGAATCTAGATCTTTATTTAGGCCTATTTTGCCCGTCTTCCAACGGGATTTGCAGCTAAATTAATTAAAATCTATAACAAACAGGTTTACAATTTATGCAAATTAAAATGATCATGAAATCATTTGTAGAATCTAGAATCGATTTGATAGAAAATAAAAACTTAAGTTTAGCGTTTTAGCTACTTTTAGCATGTTGTGTAGTTTAGCGAGAACCTAGATTTTCGGAAAATAAAAATCGCTGATCCAAAGTAACAAGGGAAACTACTACGATTAAATAATTTTATCTAGAAAAATCAATCTGTGGCTATTATAATACTACTCCACTACTTGTAAGTAGATCTCCTAGATCTAGAATCTAGGATCCAGAATCTAAAAAATCTATCATGATCTAGATCTATATTCTATATATTATATGCCTACTGTTTTATATTTATTATTTTAGATTCTATGTAATTTAGGCCTACTAGAATCTACAATCTACTACTACACGGTAATCTATCGTTTTGGGTACGTAAAATCGCCCGCGGCTATTAATGTACGAAAACGTTACCTCATTGTCAAGGCTGTAATAGAAGTATATTGTGATATGTTTGTGTCAAATATAATAATAAACCTAAATCAATGGCTAAATATATCAATATAGGCCAGAAATTAACTTTAAACAGAAGTGTCTGCAAGCAAGATTTGCTATATAAACAGCAGCCATTTGTAAAATAGAGTGACTTCCGCCTGAATCTCGCGCTTTAAGACTATAAAAATAAAACTTTAACAAGATGGCTGCAATAGTAAATGAGCATGGTTGCATCTGCTGGAAACATCGCTGGTGTTCATTTATTACTGAAAAGTTTTAATTCAATTGTTTAAAAACAGGTACATAAATGAAACAAGGAAACATTTTTGTATTTTTCAAAACATAAATCATCCTCAAAATGTGAAATAATTTAAAAATGTAAGGAGTCACCTTTTTTTCACATTATTAGTCGCGGGCGATTTTACGTACCCAAAACGATAGATTACCTACTACACTTAGATTTTAGAATCTATAACTTTAACTTAGCCTAAAAATTTAAAAAATTAACTTTATAATAATTAATAATATAATAATCATATAATCTAATCATATTAACTATTTTTAACTTAAGACTACTACTACTACTAGCTAGCAGAGTAATTAGTAATTAAGTAGGCCTAATTAGATAATTAAATTAATTAGGCTTAGGTCTAATTAGTAATTAATACTAATTAGTAGGCCTACTTATGAAAACTTTAAAGCTTAGGCTAATTATTAGGCCTAATTAATAATTAATTAATGTACTAACTGTCACACTTTGACTCACAGTCACAGTGTGAGTGTATAACTTACTGTACTTACTATAGTAGTATAGTTACACTATAGTAATTAATAATTAGTTATTACTTATTACGGTAATCTTATCGTTTTGGGTACGTAAAAATCACCGCGACTAGTAATGTGAAAAACAGGTTACTCCTTAAATTTTAATAATTATTTCACATTTTGAGGAGGATTTATAATTTGAAAAATACAAAAATGTTTCCTTGTTTCATTTATGTAGATCTACCTGTTTTCAAACAGTTGAATTAAAACTTTTCAGTAATAAATGAAGACTAGCGATGTTTCCAACAGATGCAACCATGCTCATTTACTATAGCAGCCATCTTGTTTAATTTTTTTTTTTGTAAACTTCTATTACAGCCTTGACAATGAGGTAGCTTTTTCGCACATTACTAGCCGCGGGTGATTTTACTTACCCAAAACGATAGATTACCAGTTATTACTCAGTACTTATTACTTACTTACAGTACTTAGTTTAGGGGAGTTACAACCCCCCCCCCATGGACCCTCTGTAAAAAAAAAATTTTACTGTCATAATCTATTTCTGAATCAGTATAATACATACATGTATAATTGAATATGTCAGTCATCTAAAAACTGACGCTATGTTCACTCTGAGTTGGTTAATCCCCCTCCACCTCACCACCACAATTGTGTAGAGTGACATTAATGTCACACCTAGGTATACGCTGGGTTGGATAATTGACCTAAAGTGACCAGACAGTGGTGAATGTAGTTGAACCCCCCAACCCACCCCCAACTTATCTGTTAAGCATGTTTGGGAAAACATGTAATGATGTACCAAAGTACCATGCCGCCAGAATCATAGCTTTTGAAACGTAAATCTCTGTGAATGTTGTTTTTGCAATTACCAGAAAAAAGTTGTGTTAGCAATACAGTAATCTAACCCATACCTTGTCATTATGTTAAATAAACCGGGAGTGATCACCCCTAAACTTTCTCAAATATTCTAATATAAAATTACGAGGGATGGCAACTCAGGACATAGACAATATTTGTTATCCATTTTTAATTACTTAAACTTTTTATAATAGAATAGAATCTCGTAAAAAAAGAATTGCACACCAAGTGAAAAGTTTCCCTTTCAAACCTGACGGTCTATGGGGCAAGTGAAGTAGAATTCACTTGTTTCTGTGACCTCGACATATGAAGAGATAGTGTGGTCAGCACTATGCCCAGCCGCCTTTACTTTCCCTAACAGGAGTTAGGTACCCATCAGAGTTGGGTGGACTCAGGGACGGTCTACTGACTTGAACCCGGATTCGAACTCGAGACTAACGGGTTAGCAGTCCAGCTCTCTACCGCTAGACCACTCCGTCTCACACCAAGTTAACGCCTAATAACATGTGCATAAAAGTGCAGGATATTATCAGTACTTTATAAATTTACATGCATTTTTTGAGAAATCGGAAATAGCGTAAATTAGTACTTCCGGTCAACGGAAATTACTCGAAATTTGACAGAAGGTAGAGAATTAGATATTTTACTTACGTGTGAAATTTCATTTATCTGTCTAAAATAGTACGCAAGTTATAGGCTTTTGAAAAATTCAAAGTAGAAAAAGTACCACTTCCGGTTATCGGAAATCGCTCAAAAGTTGATCAGGATCTACGATTTTGATATAATACTTATATATGAAATTTCATCAACCTAGCTGTAACGATACTCAAGTTATCTTGTTTACACACAGACACACGGACAGAATTGCAAAGTCCAGTTTTTCCGACTCGATAACGCACACAACGTCAAAATGTTTATATATTTGTATTTATAATTTTTGCCTGATTAAAATAAGTCCTCTGTACTCCGGATGTGATGAAGGACTTAGGTGTAAAACAGTGAAAACTGTCAAAATTTCATGTTATTTTTGAGCATGATTACAAGACTTTCTCTATACTTCGTATATACGAGAAAGTAAAAAATGGTCTTTAAAGAACACAAAAAGCAGTATCTAATTAAAAAATCTGAACTGCAAGACCGATATTTTAGTTACATGTAGGCTATTATTCTGAATGTTTTTCATTTATATTGAAAAGCGTGGTTTTATACCTACTCTGATTTCAAAAACTTTTCATTATGCTGTAATACTTTAGCATTTATGATGCCAATGTATTTAATTCTGATTGGAGACAACATATTTTTGTAAAAACGAATAGTGTTAAGCTACTTTATTACATTCTAAAGTAATTATTGATTTGTTTTGACATTTATAATCAAATGTGTAGACATATACATATTTGTATTAAGAGAGTGATTATTTCCCCTAATTCGCTTGACTTGGTCTGAGAAGTTCTTATCATAGGCCATATGACGACCGTTCACCATGACATATCAGTAATGGTATGGGGTTTTTAAAGCAAGATCTCAAACTCAAGATATCATTTAGAATTACAATTTTTAAAAATCACAACAGAAAAGATATATTCTGCATCTTAAAAGAATTATTGTTTAACTAAATCTTAACAATTTTATGGGCTGGTCCGAAATTGACAGAGGCTATAAGGACACAGGTCCTTATAGAGGCAGCCTACTGTACTTACTAGATCTAGTTCTTATTATAATTAACAGTATCAGTTGTAACAAGAGAAGTACTTTTATAGGCCTTTGCTACAAATATAATAATAGTAGGCCTATCTATTCTATAGGCTTACTATTATCTATAGGGAAAATAGGCCTCCTCATTTCTGAGACTAAAAATTTTTAAATTTAATTAGGCTTACTAATTAGACTACATTTAGATCTAGTTTGTAAGTTTATTTAATACATTAAACTAATAGTTAATATAGACTTTTTCAGAGGCCTATAGATCTAGTAATTGTTAAGTAAGCCCTACTTATTAATAATAATAATTATTATTATTGAGGCCTAGGTCTATAGCTTAAAAAAACAAACTTTAAAATATAGGCCCAAATTGATTTATTATTAAGCCAGATAATTTTTTATATTTTTTAGTAGACCTGGAAATCAAGATCTAACTTTAAATAATTCATAAGGGAGCTAACTCTGCTAGTTTTAATTACCACCTAGTAATACTGTTATGTAAAATACTACAACAAAAGCATAAGTTCCAGTGTTGTCTCCTGAAATCTTTGATTTCTATATTGATCTATAATATATATATAGTATTTAGAGTTATATTGATCAAAATCAACTATTTATTATTGTATAATTCAGTCTTGAAGGACATAATTTAGGGGGTTTAAAGATTTGTTCCAAAAAGGCAAATGACTAAAGAAATTACTTGTCTTGCCATTTGTCTAATTCATTGTACTTGTATAGGGAAAAAACATTACCATAAACTAATATAGTCATTCAGTAAAGACAACAAGCTGGTTTACATAATTATAATGTGCTGTTTCTTTTTATTATAGATACTCTTCAAACAACATGGCCAGTTGTGAGAAAGATGAAGATGGTGAATGGGATGAATCTAAATCCAAAGATTTAGCAGACACAAATTCACAGCATGAAGAGTACATTCATAATCCAGAAGAATTTATTGATATCCATGGAAGGGAAAGGAATTTTAAGTCACAGAGTAACATTTTGAGCAATGTGAATTCTCAGCATGACATCAATAACCAGAATATGCCCCAGACAGACTATAAAAACACATGTACACTCCCTTCAAATACCAGCACTAGTACCATACCAGAGCTGAAAGTTCCAGTCCAAGTCAGTGAAGAATGTGATAGAGATTCAGCTTGTATGGAAACAGAAAAGAAACAAAATGTTGAAAACAGTGATGATGAGTATCAGTCGGCGAATGAGGGGGATGAAGACAGTGATTATGAGTTTATACCTGTAGGTTATGAGGAAAATGAGCTCTACAAAGAAACTCTTGATGACCAGGCAGATGTTGAAAATGCTGAAAGTGCTGAAGGTGTGATAAACTGCGAAGATGAATCTAGCAGTGATGATGAATCGAGTAAGGATGAGAAAGAGCCAGAAATTGTTGATGAAATTGAAGTTAGAAAGAAAATGGAAGAGTTGCTGACAGAGGAAGAAAAACTGGTGGGTTCATTCTATTTGCGAAACACTCTATGGGCATTATTTGCGTATCCTGTTGAATAAAACTCAGTCATTAAAAGCTAAGAAAATGCTGGGACCCTTTCTTATCAATATGGGAAGGTGATTGTGTAGTCAGTTATATTCCCAGCCACCTTTATTATCCCCAACTAGGAGGTACCCATCAGGGCTAAGTGTTTGATGTTCAGTAGACATCACTACCCAACCACACCATCCCATGTTGTGTTGTTTTTGGTATTTGTCTTTAATAAAGTAGTTCTGTTCCAATAAAACTGTGTGTGATGCATTGGTACTGAGCTGTGTACACACGTTACTCAACAATACTACACAATGAATATATTTTTAATAATGGTTTATTGCATATTTCAGGAAAGAAAAAATAAAAGTCAGCAGTTAAAAGATGAGGGCAATTCTAAATTTCGTAATGGAGATTTTGATGAAGCTATGGACGCATACAGTGAAGCATTAGATATTTGTCCATTGAATTTCCACAAAGAGAGATCAATAATGTTTGCGAATAGAGCAGCTTGTAAGATGAAAAAGGTGTTAAAATATGTTTACATTTTTTAAATACTCTACTTATAATTAAGACTTGTATTATGTTAAAATGATTCTTAATTTAGTATCCGTTCAGTTTCTTACATAAAAAGCAATATCAGGCAGATATTTTAGAAAAATACAAACTTATTCTTCTAGCGCAATCTGAAGTTTATATTTGCTGATTCTCTTTTTTTTAAAGGAGATGTATGACAGCGCTATTAAGGACAGCACATGTGCAATAGAACTTCATCCTCATTATATCAAAGCCCTCTTGAGGCGGGCGGAGTTGTATGAAAAAACCACCAAACTGGATGAAGCATTAAGTGATTACCAAAAAGTTGTTGAACTTGATCCATCCCAGTACCTGGCAAGAGCTGAATGCATGGTTTGTATTATCCTCATAATAAAGTTAATTGTAGTTATTAAAGTCACGGCTGTAAATATGTTTTTGGAACAAAACAGGGGATTGTCTAAATTTATTGTCTTTAATTTATGATTTAAAATAAGGCCTGAGAATTTGATTTTTGAACTATAAACAAATATAATATTTTTCTTAGGCCTATAGTAAGTATTCATATGAGGCCCATTAAATAAATCTTATAACAAAAGTCAGAAAAAGTTGTAAATTGGTATTTAAATTAGTCATGAGAATATTATTTTTAAAACACAAAGGGAATAGCTGTTAATATAACAACCAGACGTGTTTAGCATTGTTTTAGGAACCTACATGACCTAAAGAAACTTAATTTTCTTTTCATTTAGAATTTAATAATAACTCGCATAAAAGTATTTAATTATATATTAAAAAAACTCAAATTGAAATTCAGTGAACATTTTGTCTACATTATGCCTTATTGTGAACATCTGTATTAAAAATGCATATCACAATTGATTTTAGTCAAAATTTCTACCTGCATTTCAGAAACTTGCTGAACAGATTAAAGACAGAAATGAGAAAATGAAAGAAGAAATGATAGGTATTTCCATGTTGAACAATTTAATACAACTTAATCCTTAATGCCATGTCTTGTTACTCATTGAAATAAATGTTTTTAATTTTTGTATTCTTAGGTAAGCTGAAGGACCTTGGAAATTTGGTTCTGCGACCTTTTGGCTTGTCTGTCAACAATTTTAATCTACAAAAGGATCCTGACACAGGCTCCTATTCAGTGCAATTCCAACAGAACGCTCCTGGAAATGGCTCATGACAGTGAAATATAGCTTAAACGGAACTGGTAAAATCTCTTAAATGGAATTATCCCATAAATTTCATCAGTGACTTTTTAAAAATAGACAGGATTTTTTTTTGGGGGGGGGGGGGGGGGGGGGGCGCATTTTTTTTGTAATGACAACATATAGATCAGAACAAGTTTTTAAAGATTAGTATTTTAATGCTAAAAAAAATGAAAAAAGATCCTTGGTTTCGTTCTTTTTTTCGTTCAGTAAATCATACAGTTAAATAGTGGTAATTAATCATGATGAATCTATTTGCTGCCTAAGCATTCTTTTTTGTATTGCGAAAAATGTACTGAGTTCTTCTGCTAACTCCAGTGATGGTCTCTGTGACCTGTTTAACATACCAGCAGTGGATGGATGGATGTGAAGCACTTAAGTGTTTGGGGTCTCAATAGAAGGGTGATGATGGATTAATGCAAAGTCTGATGGCTCTTAGCACTGGTTGTTGCTGCTTTATTTTTATCTTTCTACATTCTGAATGCTTTTATAGCCTTTTGTCTAGCTCACAAAGATAACTATCCACTATGTGTGGATGCACTTGTATAGATAAATTTAAATTCAAGAATTTAAATATCATAATAATCATTGATATAAACTTCAGCTGCTTAAAAAATGTTTTCCTAAAATTTCTGTTAATAGAAATAAATTATGCTTTACACATATTCCATTTACTTTGTTCATTATAATTTAAAAAAAAAAACTAGTTACAAAATAAATTGCCTTGAACTAGTTTAAAAATTTCTTCTAGTTTAGATTTTCAAAAGAAATAAATAGGACATTTTTAAACACAGGGAAACATCAAATTTCATCTTCCATCAGACAAAAAAAAACTATTGATGATGTAGTTTTATATCTCCCTTTATTTTTTAAACCATTTACTTTTTAAACAGCTGAATCTGATATGGCTGTCAGGATAATCTTCATTAAAATTTAGTTTTATGTATTATTAGATAATATTATTATAGATAATAATGGGATAGATTTTTTTAATAGTCAGGAGATAATTTTGTGTGATGTAATGTTTTTAAGTGCTGAAATATTGATTTCTATATAAAAAATATTTTGGGAGTAATATAATGTATTCATTACAATCTGGCTAATACTTAGATGTTTTCCAACTATTTCTGTTATTCCATTTTGTGATTTTTCTTTTTGATTATTTATTTTATTTTGTAATATTTCAAACTGACAAATAAACTTCAACATGACATGTGGATTTTTAGTTAAATATTTTGTAAATTATCAACAACAGAAAAGTATAAATTTTAAATGGTATTTCAGTTATGTATAAAAAATAAATAATACAAACAATTCACAGAATCATGATTATTTATTTACCATAACTTTTAATTGTAGAATAGAAACTGCAAAATATTTCAATCCAAGTATAGGAGGGCATTAACTGTTGAAATGTCTAAATCCCTCAAAGGTGGGATAGCTTCAGGGTGTGAATGCTCATTATCTGCATACAATGCACGCCTATCTGTAACACAAATATTGGTGATTAGCCTTAATATTTCAGATAGTTTTCATAAAAACCTTCATAATTAACAATCATTTAAATACACATTTTTTAAAAATTAAGGATTAATATATGCATTTTACTAAGAAATTATATATATATATATACTAGCCGTCCCGGCCAGGCCCTGCTCTGGCTTCTGTGAAAAACCTTTCCGTTAAAGACCATTACCTGTGTGTTTAGTAATCATCATAAACCCGGCATTGCCCACCCAAACCACAACCAACCAAAACAACAAAACGCAAACATAACGCTAACACAATTAGAAATACAAACGAAAACAAAAACCTAACAACAAACCCAACCACAACCACAAACACCAATACAAACACAAAGAAAAAACAAACGAAAACAAAAACCTAACAACAAACCCAACCACAAACACCAATACCAAAAAAAAAAAAAACGAAAAAGCAAACGAAAACAAACCAAATCCAAACGCAAAACCAACCAAAAACACAAATACAAACCCAAACAAAAAAAAACAAAAACGAAAAAAGAAAGAACAAAAACGAACCAAATCAAAACGCAACCACTAACGCAAACCCACCTAAACACAAAGAAAACACTAACGCGAACATAAACGCCCGGGGCAGAATCGCCTGTTTTAGCTTAATAAACGACTATAGTACCCCAACTTATTCATAGTTTTTGCACTCACTTAAACGAACGCGCCTGTTTCAATTTAATGAACAATTATAATACTCCAAGCTTATCCGTAAAATACCTAAAACATTTGCACTTGATCAATCCCCGCTAATTATGTAATTATTTTTTTTCCCAACACCAAAACAAAGTAATTAAAAAGTAAATGCTTTTCAACTAATGCAATGGGTTTCATAAAGGGAAGTAATTGTGTTTTGCCTAATTTATCAAAGGGAAGTAAGCGCTATAGGACTAAATAAAAACATAATTAGAATTTTTGTAAAAGATGATATTTTTTTTAAAACTTGTGTTTAATGAACATGCCGACAATTATTACTATAATTTGAAAAATGAAAATGATTTCCCAACACTTTTAATAGTAATTTTTTAACTCATAAATTTAGACAAACGCGCACGATAATTGATCTAACACTTAAATCCGTAGAAATGCCAACGACAAACATATGCGTTACAGAATTGAGCTTTATATATTAGATATATATATATATATATATATATATATATATATATATCGAAAAACATAATAGTAAGTGTATAAGTTTTAAAACAAGAAGAAATACATATCCTTCCCAAACAATATTTTTATGACAACCCTATCCCCTATAAATATTTAAACATTTTTGCTTCAAATCATATGAGTACTTTGCAAAACATGAAATTTTGAGCTTTTCTATTATGGATCATCTCCCTTTTATAAAAGGTCCATCATCTATGCTACACAATTCTTAAACATACTCGTTAATACTCGTTATTCATAGGGTGTTCTTCAATTAATATATTCAAAGAAAGAAGCCACTCCACTAGAACTGTTTAAAAACTGATTTACAAGATTTGACAACAAACAATTCACAAATAACAAAATGACAGAGTAACTTAAGAAAAAGTTTTATACTGGATTAGATGACTTTTTTCTTATTTTTATCTTATCTTTTTTCTTTTTATAATCTTTAATAAGCCCGCTATTCAAAAGGATGTTTGATTCAGCTACATGATCAGTTAAACTGCTTTGTTTCAGTTATGAAGCTTTGGAAAAATTATACAAAATGGCTCCATAGTTTGCAGTATTTGTAGTTATTAGCCCATTCATCCTATATGGGTTTTATGGTAGGTGGGGGAAAATATAAGTTGATGTCCTCTTTTGACAGTCAAAAAAAACATAGACAACACATCTAAGCTATTGCACTTACATGCCTATAAAAAACTCATTTTAAAGAAATGGAAAGATTATTTCCCTGATGTAAAAGGGTTTTTCAATAAATTGAAAACCCCAGTGACCTATAGGGCCTACCTGTTATTGTTCTAACATCATCAAGAGCAGGAGTTTTAATCAGAATTAACCCTGTATAAGCAATGTAACTCAGGATGATAGCAACACATAAGTATACTGGCAATGAAACAGCCCAATATCTGAAAAAGAGTCAAGTTTTTATTGTTACATTCTGTTTCTGTTACATATGTTAATTATGAGAGTGTGAGTAGACAGTTTAACAAAGTAAGTAGAAAGACCATGATGATACAAGATTTAAGTTAAGGAAAGCTAGATACTGTACCGGTCAATCAAACCCTTCTGACATAAAAAGATGGAAAATAATGCATCGCAGAAATGTCATTCAACAAGTGCAAGAAGTTAAAAACATTTCCACTACTTACTTTTGAGGCCAGTAAGTGAGACCAACTGAATGTAGCCAGTAATCAGGAATGTAAGCCCATACAATATACAGACCTATTTAAATAAGGGGAAAAGATGTATTTATTAGAGTGAAATACTTAAAGTAGTCAGTAAATTAAGATAGTATATGAACAAAATTATTGATAGACATTTTAAAAAGAACATTATTTATCATATTTACGAAATTATTTTGCATAATTTTTGAACAACAATATTAATAATACTATTGACAGGCTGAATATTTGGTGAAAAAAATAAAAATAATTTTCTCTCATGTTATCACACGATAATCCTTTTAATAAGAAATTTTTATCATCACACACTTAGCCTAGGCTACCCCACACCACCTCATTGCAATTTTTTTTTTAACATTGTGTCATTTTCTGAAATATTAACTAAGCTGAGCCTACAACTCTTCATATGGTACATTCAGTAGGCTTATGTAAAAATAATAAAGATCAAAATCTATGGACCTAGTGTATTGATTATTTTTTTTACTATAATTTCTTACAAAGTCTTTAAAATCTCTCTCTCTCTCTCAACATATATGTATATTTTATATATATATTTTTATGCATTACTATACCCTTCAACAGATGGCCATAACATTTAGGGAAGTTATTGAGAATACTCATTGGAAGGTTTCTATGATAAAAACCAATTTCAGAGGTGTGGTTTGGTGCCCAGAGTTTCCCAGTGGCTATCTAAGCACATAAGATCTGTGTTTGGACATCCTGCACATGGTGTCAGAGGTACTACTTGATTAAATGGTCAGACTTCACCAGGCACATCGCCCAGCGATTGCATGACTGAGTGGGCCTCTGGCCTCCCCCTGGGCTCTATGATGTTCATGTGAGTTTTAAAAAGTGCCATACACTAGGAACATGTTGGGCTAAAGATAACTAAATCAAACTAGGGTCACCATCTGATGCCCTGGCAATAGTCTACAGTTGGACGCCCATGTTTCTTATGTGCACATTAGGTACGTTGATTCAGAGGCGTAGCGACCCCTTCCGGCGCCCGGGGCGAACTTTCAGTTAGGCGCCCCCTCCCCCATATATATATATATATATATATATATATATATATATATATATATATATATATATATATATATATGCGCGTGTGTTTGTGTGTGCGACAGTCTGGAAAAAATTAACAATTACGCTGATTGTCGTTCCCTAAAACTTCACTGGATGCCAATTAAATTCTCTTAAGATGCCGAAACAAATAAAAAGTAGAAAATCAAAAGAGTGGGCTCCATCGAACCCGAGAGGTTCGGTAATTCAGTCTCAGGGCTTCCGCGGAGGTTAAGACACACACCCGACTCATAGGATTCACGATCGGAATTTGTCATTGTGGACGATTAAGGAGGGTTCGGTGATTGCGCATATGAAACTGGTGGGGTTCGGTACTCCAAAAAGTTAAAAACCACTGCTTTAGAGTGTATTTTGTAGAAGGTGCAAGCCTTATTTGGTGTACTTTTGGTCGTGTCTTTAGAACAATATCGATAATAGTAGGCCAATCTTGCAATTTTGAATTATCAGTTAGGTTGAACAAAGTAATAATCAGTACGATATTCTAATTTTCTTCTCTCTTAAAATTTTGGCAAAAAGTGTCGCTTCCTGTCCACCCGCTCCGATAGCGATACAAGAATCCATTATATTTATTTCTCTTTAATGCAGTGATCCAGGCAAGATGTAATGCAATCAAGTAAAGTATCTGATCTATCACGATCAAGTTGAGAGAATCGTAAGAATCGTACAAAGAACCAGTCACGTTATTACTTAGCAAAACTGGGTAGTGAAATCGTACATTAAGTGTTAATACAATTGATTTCTTTTATAAGTGTTAAAAGAGTTATCTAGCAACCGATCCAGTACAAATCCTGCGATTTTTGTTAGTGAAAAAGCGCCCCACCATCTTGGACAAAAATGGGAGAGCGGATTTTAAACGTCACTAACTCTTTTTTATGTTACACAATCGTAAAATACGCTTTAGTTCAATGTGTTACTTTTCTGAGTGATATCTGTTATTTATTCCTTAATCCGGTGTGAATTTTTCCGATTTTAGTCTTCGAAAAAGCGCCCCCTCCCCCCATCGAGGAAAGCTGGAAAGCGGTTTTTCCGGTCACTGTTTCTTAAAGATATATGTTTTACAGTTACATAATCAAGGTAGAAAACAGTTAAATCAGTATGCAAAGGCTCTCGGCCGTTCAATTTCTTTACTTTGACTGTTTATAATTCAAAACTGCAGCTTAAAATGAGCTTTTAATTTTTTTTTCTACCCCTTTTGGCGCCCCCCTAGGGTCGGCGCCCGGGGCGGCCGCCCTCCCCGCCCTCCCCTAGCTACGCCTCTGCGTTGATTGTCCGTAGTGCACAGGCCAGCGTTACTATTTGATTCTATTGTCAGGGAAGGTCTAGATAGCATTGGCGGTTTGGAATGCCTCAAACTCCCCTGTGGGCACTTATAGCACGTACATTTGTTTTGAAAAGCACCTTACACAAGGGAAAAGGGGCGTCTAAGTGGTAATGTGGACAAAGTTGCACCCCAACAACTAAGATACCAGAAATAAATGCTGACATTTTTACTCTTAAATAAATCACTTTTTCTGTGTGCGCAAATTTCTGTGTGCACAAATTTCTGTTTGAGCATTTTTCAGTTGCGCATTTTTCCCCCGTAGTGCATCTTTCTGGAAACCCATTTAATGATTTTTATATCAATAGGCCCAACATTTACACAGCTTTTATACTATATGATAGTTTCTAGATCTAAGTATTGTTACTTTGTTACTGTAGGACTAGTCTAGTGTAAGTAGATCTAGAAATGGTACTCTTACTGTTACTAGTACTAGTAGTACAGTGACTGTAACACTAACAGAGTAAGTATTAAAAAGTAAAGTAACAGTACAAAAAAACACATTTAAGTACTAGATCTAAAAGTAGGCCTAAAACTAAAAAAGTAATAGATCTAGTAAGTATTAGATTAGTTTAGTACTATTAGTTTATTAGTAAGTAAGAGAAGTACCTACCTAATCCGATTATTGAAGAAAGGTAAAGAACAAATCCATATATTGCTCGCTGTGGAGTAGGAGAAGGCGAATGCTCCTGCGCCATTAATTCATTTATGGATCATATTTATATTGAGGTTGAAGCAAACTAGTGTGTTAAAGGATTTGATTCTATGAACCATGAGTAACTATGTGTACTACATCTGGATCTACCCACTCTAATGACAACAAAAATGTAGCCTTGACCTAGGATTAATGGTTTTCTATGCTTGAAGTTCAGTAAGTTTGTTGTGGCCTACATTGACAACTTATATCAGAGCTACTTCCGGAGATGGAAGATGGCTGATGATTCTGATTCAGTGGTAAGTTAATTGAAATTAATTTACTTTAACTTCGTTACTTTACTTGCAATATTGTTCAGTAATGACAAAACGTGTAGTTTATTATTTGTTTCGAATGGAAATTTAATGTCCAAACCTGTAAGGCTTTTGTTAAATCTGGTTCAAACCTAAACAAATGTCCTCATTTGTTTTTTTTTTTAGTTTTGTACTTTTATTTGACCTAACTAGATCTAGATCTAGACTCTAATCTATTTTTGTTGTAGGCTAAGAAAAAGATAGATGTATGTTTTAGATCTAGGTTTAGTATACTATTATTTCAAAACAATAACACACTAGTAACTATGGAATGTCACATTTCACTGAAAAATCAATAGGCCCTATACTAGGCACTGGCTATAGAATTTTAAAAAATTAGCTAGGCCTATAAGAAAATTGAGCTATCAGAGCACTTTAATTTTTAAGTGTGACCATAGGCCCTATGCCCTATATTATATAATGTCCTACATTTACTATATTATATAATTATCTGTTGGTACCCATTACACGTGATTTATAGGCCTAGATCTATATATTTTAATGTCAAGCCTACTTGTTTGAGAAAAATATTGAACGATACTAGTGACAAAGCAAAGAATTAACTAAATCGCTAAATATTGGCCTACACAGTCAACAGTCAAAATTTTGTTAATTTAAAAATTAGGCTTAAGTTTTTAGCGCAATTTCCATACGGACAATTGCGATTATTAACTCATCATTTCTGGATGTATGAATGGATGGATGTGTGTCCGCAGTTTTAAGTGGTATCTCCTCCTCAACGAAGCAATATCGAGGACTAGTTCCAAAAGCAAATATGTTAAGCAAGTTCCAAGGATGACTGTGGGCCAAATAAATTCACGGAATTTCTTCCTGGATTTCCCGGAAAAGCCAAAAAACCTCGAACAAATGCAGTTTTTGGTCCATATCTCGGCAACCAGACCACTTAGCGACTTGAAACATTTACCAATCGATTCCTGCCATAATTTAGAACAATATTGCAGAAGAAAGTTTTCAAAAATATCCTTTCGTTTGGTCACAAAAAAATATTTACTACTTTTTAAAACTGAGCATCTTGTAGGCCTAGGAAGAACATTTTAACTGAGCATCGTGTAGTCCTAGGATGATATTTACTACTTTTTTAAACTGAGCATCGTGTAGGCCTACTCGTTAAAATTTTCCGTTGATATAGGTTAATATAGTTGTCTTTTTTTTTAGCGCAAAAAATATCCTTTCGTTCGGTCACAAAAAAATAAAAATTGTTATGGATAACATAAGGAAATTGCGCTTAAATTGTCACTAGACTTTTTATTAACTTGTTTTTTTTTAATTTAATTGTATTTTAGTATAAAAAGATTTAGTTAGTAACTTAGTAGGTAATGTAGACCCTATTTTAAACATTTAAGCTAAAATATGGGCATACTAAGAATTTAACACTTTAATACTTTATTATTTAGGTTTAGGCCTAATATAGTTAATTTACTTTGGAGTTTTCTTTCCCATGAGGATGCTCTCCCCAGCTATTTAGCCTTATCTGCCTAGGGGTTTGAACTTGGGACTTTTAGGTTTAACAGCCATAAGCTTTACTGTTCCGATTATGCCAACTCACAGTTAGAATAGTAATAAAGTTTCCCTTTCAAACCTGACGGTCCATGGGGCAAGTGAAGTAGAGTTCACTTGTTTCTGTGACCTCGGCATATGAAGAGAAAGTATGGTCAGCACTATGCCCAGCCGCCTTTACTTTCCCTAACGTGAGTTAGGTACCCATGAGAGTTGGGTGGACTCAGGGACAGTCTACTGACTTGAACCCGGATTCAAACTCGAGACTTACGGGTTAGCAGAATAGTAATAATTTAGCTTTTAATTATGCAAATTCAATATCCAAATGATTAGCATCACCTCATTAAACAATTTCTAAAGAATTGAAAACCACTTCAAAAAACACTAAAAACACTTTAAATTTAATTCATCAAGTATCTTTAATTAATGTGGGGGAAAAACATCAAACAATAACACAGTTATCCAGTTTTCACAAACCTGGCCACAGTATTTGATTATCAAAAGACTAAACTATCTAGTGAAAATACGCATTATCATAAAGTTATTTACACTCCTATCTTACACATAATGTTGCTATTACTTAACTATCTGTAGTTAATAATTTGAATTTAGTAAAATAATTTAAAGAAAAAACTGTAAACTATACTGCCTTCAAATTTAAAAGGAAAATATTATTTTTTAAGCGTGGCTGAACAGTTTTTAAAAAGTGGCTGTGATAATAATAAATGATAGTTTATATATTATTATGCAAATGCTGTTAATATAGGCCTTTAAAAGTAAGAAAGTGAAGTTCCCCTTCAAAACCTGACTGTCTGTGGGAAAAGTGAAGTAGAGTTCATCTGTTTCTATGACCTTAGCATATGAATGGATAGTGTGGTCGGTACTATGCCCAGCCGTTCCCATCAGAGCTGGCTGGACTCAGGGACGGTCTACTGACTTGAACCCGGATTCGAATTACGGATTAGCAGTCTAGCTAAGACAGGCCTATAGCCTAATATAAATTATTCGTTAATTCAGCTAAAAGACTATTTAATTCTGACTTTACCAACCTCTAATAGTATATTATAATAATGATAATAATACGTTTTTTAAATAGCTTCTTACAACTTAACAACAGTTAATCAATTGACAAAACAGTCAGTGTGTCTAGGTTTATTCTGTAGTATTACTGTTGGAGCTAGGATGATGATTCTAGCAAAAGTTAAACTTTTGTTGCCACCTCCCATATAATTATAGCTAGACTTGTGTCTAAACAATTATTAACTATAATCTATATTTAGCTTATATATATAGACATACATATTGTTAGAATTTCTGAACATCCTGTTTAAAGCATTTATAAGTAGACATATTTTACTAGGCTTTTATACAATTACTGTTCAATCGTAGTAAACTATGGGCCAAACTTTTAAATGACTACATCCTTAATTATTTTATCCTTCAACAAAAATTACCTAACACATAATTGATTTTCCTCATTTTTCTGTTCCGCAGGCATCATCAGGCATGGTGTCTGAAGATGAAATGTTTGCATCTTCAACATCTAACACAATCAAAGCTGAAAGGCCCAGAGTTTCAACAAATGATTCTGATTACTCTTCATCGTGTACGCGGCGTAAAGTGAAACTTAAAGATGAAAAAGTTTGTGGTGTGTGCGGTGATAAAGCATTGGGGTATAACTTTAATGCGATCACCTGTGAATCTTGCAAGGCATTTTTTAGGAGAAACGCTTTGAAAGATAAGGTAAGAAAACATTTTTTAGTGCTTTGTATTTTAAAACTATTCATTTTTATTGTTCATATCAGAATCTAATGTACCTGGTTCTCTAAGAAAGAAACCCTAAACATAAATCTCTTGTTTAAAGGATATATAAATATAAGGAAGAAATAAACAAAAATTGAAATTAGTTTTAAAAGAGCATTACAGTTTTTTTTAATGCATCTTATAACTACCCCTTCCTGTAATTTCAGTACTTTAGTTTAGTTTACAAACACCCTCCACCACTATTTTACACATTTAGAGGAGAATCCAGTTAAAATGTATTCAACCACGCATGAAAAGCACAGCTGTGACGTACTGATGGTCATTAGTAGTATTGTCAGTACCTAGTACCTGGCCTAGTTTTTTTAATGCTCATCACTAAAGTGTCACCTATCAGTTGCTATTGAACCATAAGCAGAGCAAAGGTCAACAGAAGGCATGTTCTTTGTTCTGCGTGCCAATCTGTCACCAAGCTGGTGACAGATAATACTCTCCTGAAATTCCAGGCATATTCTACCAACCAATGTTGAGTGGAGAACAAAGAAAAAAGATCATTACACCCAGAGGTGTAGGGGGGGCGCCTGGGGGGTACATATGTCCCCGGGCTCCAACCCTAGGTGCGAAAAATAAGCTAATTTTAGTTGCTATTTTGAATTATAAATATACAAAATACGGGGGGGGGGGCGCCAAATTGAGTTTGTCCCCGGGTGCTCAGGGGGTCGCTATGCCTCTGATTACACCTGTTTGTATTTGAATTTCTGGCAGAGTGATTGATGCATAGTTTAGGGTGTCTGGATGGCAAGTAAAGATGTATTTTAGGCTCAAACCTGATTGCTGTCAGTATAAATATTTAAATGGCAAATGATTTGTGTTGAACAAATACAAGTTAAACCACTCCTGACCACAAATATGCATTCCTTTTAGTAGAAAATACCTTCTCCGCAAATTTACTGCAATATTTAATACATAAGAATGTGGTTAGGTAAATAATGTAGATATTGTGAATCAAAATTATACATTATTCAATAACATTTAACTATAATTATAAAATACAAAATGAATAAATATTAATAACATCCTATTACTTAGTTTTATTTTCTTCAAAAGTTTACTTTTTCTTCCAATGAACTACAAATAAAGGGTTTACAGCCATATTGTTTGTTAGCCAGACACCAGTGAATATAGGGGAATGTCTATAAATTAGCTCTATTTTCAAAGGTTCATTTTATAATAAAAGCTAGAATTGGTATACTCAAAATTTCATGAAGCTGAGATTTATAATGTTATCTAGTTATCTAGCATACACTTTGAAAATATTTTTTTCTGTGATATTATAGATTTTTAAAATAAATGAATCAAAACTATATAAACAATTTAACTTTCAGACAATGGTGTGCCTTTTTGAAAATAAATGTGTTGTTGATATTCGAACTCGGCGTTTTTGCCCAGCTTGTCGAATCAAAAAATGTTACAACATTGGAATGAACAGGGATATGATATTAGGTATGTACATTTTAAAAAAGAATATGTTGTAACTTGTAGTAAAGAATTGTTGTCAACTTCAAGCATCCCATATAATGCCACATCTAACTAATTAAATTTTACAAATACATTTACATATATAAATGTTTATATGTATGCCTCTTTTTCTTCTGAATTTAAAAAGACATAAAATAAATAATCAATAACTGGTTATGTTTGAATGAATTTTATTCATCTTTTGTTCAATATTCCTGATATAATAATATTTAATATTTAGTAAAGCATTTCTTGATTTTATGCATTCTGTGTAGGATTTTTAAAAACTGAAATTAATTCATTTTATCCCTTTTTCAAACTTTATATTAATTATATTAGGCAAAAGAACAAATTTAACTGACTTCATACTGTGGAGCCTATGTAGAGCAATGAGCTGAAACCACTTTTCTTACAGTAGCCTTTGCTTTTCTTTCTGTAGACTTCCAAGATTTTCTTGGTCTACCCACTTTCTGTTTTTTGTGGGTTCTCGTCTATTAGTTTTAGGATCAATTAATTATCAACAGTGGGATAATGTGCAACTGTAGTTTTAGGGTTGGGGCAGGGAGGGTGGAAATGTCTGAGTCATTTGGCTTAATGGCAGCTCTGGCATTGTATAACTTATTACATCTTTGTCTACTCTTCCATCTTGTTTATGCGAACATGTTGCATTTTATATGGATGGTGTGGTGCTGTATTCTATTGAATTGGACAACCGATTTAACTTCCATTTCTTTTGAGGACTATTTTTTAGGCTTCACCTGGTAGTCTATTTTGGTTTAAGCATGCTATTGTTTGAGATAGGAGGCAGACATCTGTAAAATCAAGATATTTCAGGTTTTTTATTTTTTTTTATTTTATAGTCCATGCATATTGTTTGGTCTCCAGAAAACTTACTTTAAACTGTGTAACTTTTAAAAAAGTAATTGATCTAGCTATTTCTGCTTTGGATTACCTTAATTGATCTAGCTATTTTTGCTTTGGATTACCACTCATGATTTTATATCAGTTGTCACTTTTAGGCTTACAAAAAACACTGGAAAATATTTTAATTGGGAATTGAGTTACATGTTCAAAATTTTATTTTAAAGCGCCTTTTTATTTATTTTTCTAAATAATTTACATCTAGTTAAAATCAAAACCTTCCTTTAATTTATTTTGAGATTACCGTAGTTTGTTTGTCAAGCTTTAAGAAAAATAATTTTGTTTAAAAAGTACTTCAGTACTGATACTTTTAAAAAAATTTTTTGTGTACCTATTTAATTATTACATTTATTGTGTATCATGTGTAAAAAAAACACATGCTATAATAAAATAGGTTGTTGCAAATGAAATAAATTACCATAAGTCTGACTCAAAGTTAAACCATTTTGGAGAATCATAAAGTTAGAATTTTACCCTATTTGTTTTTTACTTGCGTGTTTGTTTTCTGACATATCAGTTTTACAAATGCTTACATAAAAAGAAATCAGTCAGAATAAATGTGTTGTAGATATTAATGGGAACCTAATAAGATATGTCTGCATACTTATGAAACTTCCCTTATCAGCTGTGAAAAATTGGAACTAAAAAAATTGAGTGGCCCTGAGTAGGCCTAATCATTGTGTAAACATTCACTGCACAGTTATTTGCCTAGTGCTCACGTTGATTTAGTACTGAATTAATTGAGTTTTATTGACATTGTTAATACTTTGTTAATTTTAATGTTTAATATTTAGGCCTCAAATTTTTAAAGTTCTAAAAATGTATGGATAAATAAGACAGTTGTATTAACAAAGTTTGGACTGCTGTGCCCTTTCTTCCCCCCCCCCCCCCCCACCACCACCACTTATATACATTCAAGAAAAACAATACTATTATATTTATTATCTGTATTCAAGTTTTGTAGTTAGTGACACTTTTGATTTTACACAACAAAAAACTTTCAAAAGAGTAATTCAGTTTTCATTTCTTATATTTATTCTCCATTTTTTAACATCAGCATTTAATTACAAAGAAAATAACTTTATCTGTTAGATGATAGTGAAAGAAAGAAACGAATGAGTAAGGTGATGGCCAAAAGAGAACCCTCTTCCACCACACCACTGATGATGAATATTAAAACAGAGATAGATACAGATGACTCCATGATGGGGCTGGTATCTGGTGACCACACCTCAGATATAGAAAGACCACCTACACCTTTTGGCAAATCTCATGGAGAGAAAACTGACATTGTATTCAAACACATCCCAAAGCATCTGCTACCAGTGGATGACAGTATGTTTTACAAACTGACATCGGAAGAAGCCTCGCTTCTCAAAGACATTACACAGGCGTACCGGGATACGTTAGCTGCCATGCCTGAAGTGGGCCCGTATTCAGAAGAAAAAAAGTACACCAAGCCTGCAGATCTAGTTAACCACTCTGAGATTTGCGTCAGGAAACTGATCATGTTTGTGAAACATTTAAGTGATTTCAAACGCCTCAGCCAGGAGGACCAAATAGCTGCGCTGAAATCATGTGTTATGAAGACTCTTCTGCTGCGCTCAGCTCTGTTTTACAGTATAGAAAGGGATGCTTGGCTGACTCCCAATGGAGAAATACCATCCAGTATACTCAAACGGTCTACAGGCTTTGTTTCATTACATAACAATCACGTGTACTATTGTCAGAGGGTCAAATCAATGGCTTTAGATGACTGCAGCTTATATGCTCTACTCCAGGTGTGTAGTCACTTTTTATTAATATTTTGTCTCCAGTCAATTCATATTTTTCTTATATTTCATTTAAATAACTATTCTAGCACTGTATTCTGATTTAGGTCATTATATATAACTATTATCAAATAGACTTGTTTTGAAACAATATCCTTGTAGTTTGTTCTATGTTGGACAAAGGCTATGGAAGCAAATCCAAAAAGAAAAGCAGGCTGAAATCTGAGTCAATGGCCTCAATGGTGCATAACCAGTTGACATATATACTTAATAGTGTTAGAGTGGATACCTTCCAACACTAAAATTAAGAATGAAGAAGAAGAAACAATATCTTGTTGTAAAATTTAATTATAAGAATCTTTAAATTCACTTCAAGTTTTGAAATAATGATTTTAATTATCCTCATAACATTAAACTTAATTTAGAAAATCCCTTCTGCTCTACAGGCATTGATTATTTTTGATCCCTCTGGGGCGAACCTCTCAAGCAGAGAGTTTGTATCCTCACTACAGGACAGGTACATTTTACTCTTGAAACATTACCTCGAGTCCAAATTCTCGTACGAGTTTGCTAAAGAATATTACGTCAGCGCCCTCGACCGAATCTGTGACTTGAGAGCTCTAAGTGAGGAGCATGCCAAGGTCTTGTTGCAAGTCAACCCTATAGATGTGGAGCCTCTGATGCTGGAGGTTCTTAATCTGAAGTAAATGGAAGTCTTGTGTAGCTAGAAAACTATTGTCCCAGAACTAAAGCTCCTAGCAGATTATCTATTTATAGATGATTGGCTAATCCAATGTAATGTACCTTTATCTGGTTTAAGGTCTAAAAACAGAAATTTGTGATATAATATAAGCATAGTGCAATTATTTTTAGTTTTGGAAACTTTTTTTTTTTGAAAAATATTTTTTAAATTCATTTTTGGCAACTACAAATCAGGTGTATAATTTCTGATGCAGTTTATTAATGTACCTACAGTAAAAGCTGGAAGCTCCTTAACTCTTTTTCTACACTGTAGCTAAAGGGGCGGAGGTTTGGGGTGTGGAGCAAGATAGGAATAAAGCAAAATTAAAAGCCACTATTATTTAACTAATTTGATGTATAACTATAAAGTGTAAAGCTATGGCCTGCACTTCTTAGAAGTTCACCTCTTGTGTCACCATGCATTAGGCAGCGCCAAGGATATGCGGTTGAAATCATTTTTTGTTGTAACCATCTGTATATCCTACTGTTTTGTGGTAACTGTTACATTGAAACTTTGCCCTGTGATGTGTCAAAAACATGTTCCTTATCTGGACTAAGAACTATTTATTACATGTTTGTTGATGTACCTTCATTGCTCATTTGGATTTTTGTCTTTATGATAAAAGATGAAATATTTGGTGGGATTTTAATTTCCATTAAATAACTTAATTTTCAAAGATGTTCATTCATGCTAAAATTAATGTTATGAAATTCTTTTATTTTTAATTTTTTTTCAAAATATTTTAAAATATATAAAAACAATAACATTTGGTAATCAGCAGTTTAAAAAATAATTATTATTTATTTTTATGAAATGTAAATCCATTTAAATGGATCTATGTCAGTTTCTTAAAAAGATTTATCCAAATGCTTTTCTGACGAGTTACATTTATTTCTATCATATATTATATTTTAAAATTTGACTAAAAATTTATTTTAATGAAAACAAGAGTTTATTTATTTAAAAAAAAGGTTTATTAGTTTTTTTTAATAACATTTAATACAACTTATATGTTTTTATCATTACCCCTATTCCTATTTTTTAACATCTTTTCATTTAAATTAGGAAGACACTTACATTTTCTTGTGATATTATCATACTGTATGTGTATAGCATAAACATTTTGACGTTATATATTTACTACTTTTAACATTTTTCATTATAAATTCACATTATTGAATCATTTATAAATCAGACAGAAAATTGTGTATGAGTACATTTGTAGATCTACTCTGTGATGAAATATATTTTGTTTTGATGATGTAGCACATTTATCTATTTTTGTATTTGTGTCTAATTTTTGTTGAATTGTGATGGTTTTGCAAAATTTATATTTTATGTTTCAGAAACTTGTTACATTGTTATATTCAGTTTTAGGAATTTTTTTTTATCTGGTGAGCTTGAATGTTGCGCTGTTGTTTAGCTCCATTATCTCCTTCCCATCATAGCTTGCCTTGCTTATAACTACCACATTGAATTGATTACCTCAGCATACTTTCTTCACAATATGCCACACAAAACTCAGTGTTTTTATCTCTTTAGTGTGTGTTATTTATTATGTGTTGTTTAACATTGTTCAAATCACATCGAAGATATGTTTTTGTAACTTGTTTATTCTAGAATATTTGGTGTACAGTGGCTTTGTTTTTAGTACGAACTCCCATTTAAAATATTTGCAGTTTTAAATTGAATTACAAAATGAATGAAAAATCAAGAACCATTTTATTCAGTATCTCAATCCAAGGAAACTTGGTTTTATGAACATTTAATAAAAATTTCTTACTTCAACCTAAACGCATTATCAAATATTGCTTTATTAAGCTACTTTGTCAAAAAATTAACTTATAGACTTATCTAGTATAAGGATTTTTAAAATGCTGATTTTTCATGTCCTAAGGGCTTCTTTCTAGTGAAAAATGTGCAGCTGTGTTCTCTGAAGTGTATAATATCTTTTCAAATCTAGGGCGAATAAATAACGTGTGGGTTTTATTTTCTAAAACAAAAAAAAAAAAACAAAACAATAATTTGTTTTTTTTTAGAAAAAAAAAACACTTATTTGTTTTATATTTAATAAATTGCTATTTTAATTCTTATATTTTTTTAAAAATCTGCTTTTAATTTGATTTTTTGTCTATGGTAAGTGCTTTGTTTCCCACAGTGATTAAGTAACTGTTAACCTGAAATACCTGTAGTTTAAAATAGGTTTTGAATTCTAGTTTTAAAAATGCCAGTATGGCAGTCTTCTTCTTCTTAATCCTTTTGTGCCCAAGACACATGGGGCAGATGAAGTAGAGTTCATCTGATTCATTGACCTCGGCATGAGAAGGGAGTGGTCAGCACTATTCCCAGCCGCCTTTGTTTCCCTTACGCAAGTTAGGTACCCATCAGAGCTGGGTGGACTCAGGGATGTTGCACTGATTCGAACTCCGATTCAAACTCGAGACTCTCGGGTTAGCAGTCTAGCTCTCTACCGCTAGACCACGCCATCCCAGTATGACTGTAGGCCTAATTATTCTATGTTTCTATTTAACCAAATTAATAACAAACAATTAGAATCTGTTGTGTGAACTGTTCATTATACATTATCTATTTTTTAAATATTTTAATCCTGGGAAAATAAATGAAAGTAAAGATTTTAAGAGGGGTAAAGTTTAGCCATACAGAGATTGTTGCTGTAGTGTATGTTTGCTCTGTGTTACACATTCCCTTTCAATCTTGTTGTTACATCCAACGTTTGTTTTCTGGCCTGAAAAAGTATTTGTCTATCTGATCTTATTTTCTAACTAATCTAATGCCTTCAACACACAACTTTTTGCCTTGAATACATTAGTCTAGGAGCAGGTACCAATGGCTAGTTAGTTTTTTAAAAAATGTAACCAGGTGAAAATCCTCCATGTTATACAAATTTAGAGTTCATTACTTTAAATTTATAAAACTGTGGGTTTTTTTTTTAAATAAAATAAAAACTCATTTATTTATTTATTAGTTTTTAATTTATCACAATTTTCGGGGAGAAAAATTTATTACCTAAAAATTGTTTTTTAAAAATAATTTTTTACTAGCTGCTTTTATATCTTGATATTTAATAAAATAAAATTAATGAGTTTTATTTTTCAAGTGAGTGGAAAATATGCCATTCAAAATTATTAATTGTAGCATTAAAGTGAATCAAACCAGATGCCTCATTAAAGTTTCTTTATTGGGCACTTGATAAAAAATATCTCCTGAAGATTACAGAACACTGTGTCTTTAAAGAAATATGTTGAGCTATTGAAGCCATGTTTGTTTTTAATCAATTTTTATGGATTAATTTTAGCCTACAAGTCAATGTGCTTTGTTGTTTTTTCCTCATAAAAAAAACATAAACATTGTTAAAAGTGCCTCTTACATCTAATGTATGTAGCACTACAAAAAACCTGTCTCAGAATTTTTTTTAAATCAGAACGTTGTAGCAATTTCTACTGGAGTTCACTTTAAAACAGTACCTTATCTTTATGACCTAGGTTAAAAATTCACAGCCCTTAGCCTTAAGTTACAGAAGATCGGCCTTGGTGCTTTCAAACACCTCTATTTAATCTTGTAAAAATGTTAGTTTTTGTGATGTTTTATACACTGTTTTGGTCACGCCACCCAATTTGTAATATACAATGTTAAGCTTATTTATCAGCCAAGGTAAATTCTCTTGTGGTATTTTTTAACCTAATCTAATTCAAATTGACATGTACTTTAGTTGCTTTAAATAATGGATTTTTTGTTTCATATTATGATTTTTAAATCTGGAAATTAAAAAAAAAATGTCCTGATACTTTATTAATCTGTTAAAATATCTCATTGTTGGGGCAATTGATTAATTTCTTTTAGACTATAAATATTTTTCAGGGTTAAAACTATACCACACTGTACTGTAAACCTTGTTTTATTGCACCACCTTATTCCCATTAACATTTCTGCTTCTGTATATTGTTTTCTTAGGTCAGTAATGATTTTCAATTGTTTATTTACATTATTATAACAAGTCTTTATCTGTTTTATTGTATCCTTTAATCAAATGGCAACTATATTTTTTTGGTTAGTTTTTGTTCCTTAAGACACATAACAAAATAGAATTTTTGTGTCAATTTGTATAGATAGATAAGAGGTTTGACTAATGTTAAATATTGTGTGTTTAATTCGTTACTCAGCTATCAGGGATCCTACACAGAAGCTTGTATTTTCCAATTGTTTTTTAACTCTTATAATGTTACTAACTGTTTAACAGTATGGAAAATAAATTTGTTGTTATTCATCATTTTATTTGTTATAATTCAAGGCTCCAATAGCCTCAAGACTTATCAAACTTATGGACATGTTTTTCTTTTTAAATGTGAACTTTATTTGTTCTACTGGTTGTCACATATAATTCTCGTATACAAATTAAATTTGATAACATTAACAATATATCTAACAGTTTCATGCTTTGTTTGTGTATTTTTTTCAAAATATATTTTAGTAAAATAGCTATTTATATATTGATGATGGAAAAGGATTCATATAATTTTGTCACAGCCACACAATTTTTGTAATTTAATTTAACTTGTATGCTTTTGCTCAATGTAAAGATGTTTAAAGGTATTCTTGGAAAAAGCTGTGTTGTTTTTATTTTTTATTCTTAAATATTGAATCCAACAATAGTTTGAGATGATTTGATTTCATGAAAACTAATAATACTAAGAAAAACTTATTAATTTTTGCAGTTTAATATTTGGACACAAGTTTTTAAATGGCTTTCAACACAACTTCATATTTAAAATGCTGTTATATAACTTATAACGATTGTTTATTGAATTGGAAACACACTAATGTTTCTTTAGTTAGTTGGTATATTTTAAAAATATCTTATCCATACAAACACTCTTGTTGTTAATAGACTATTCTGTAAAATATATGAATTAGGTGTAGGTCCACATTAACTATGTATTAAGTACATGAAATAACTTTTGCCGTCATGATTTCAACTGTTACATTTTCAGTTGTTAGCAAGGTTATCTATAACAGTAATAGCTATCATTAACAACAGATATTTTATTGGTTTGTTTTATTTCATTATATATCATTAGCAGATAGTTCATTTCTTGTGTATAAAAAAATCATAAAATGTATTTTTTTTCTTAGTTGTAATTTTTGGTTGAACGAGTACTATTTTGTTTATCATGAATTGTTAATTGTTTTGAAAGACTGGAGTCCCTACTACACCTACCTGATGCTGTACATAACCTGGTCCCTATGCTGTGTTGTGATTGTTTTCAATGTATGTTGTTTCAGTTAGGATGAGGGCGGTGATGTAGTACTGCAAGTGTCCTACTAATATTATGTTGTATTTGGTTAACATAATGTTTCTGTCAGGATAAGGGTGGTGACGTAGTACTGCAAGTGGCCTAATGTTATGTTGTATTTGGTTAACATAATGTTTCTGTCAGGATAAGGGTGGTGACGTAATACTGCAGGTGTCCTAATATTATGTTGTATTTGGTTAACATAATGTTTCTGTTAGGATATGCGTGGTGATATAGTACTGCAAGTGTCCTAATATTATGTTGTATTTGGTTAACATAATGTTTAAGGATACTGCAGAGGTGTATTAGTTCTGTGGGCACTGAAGTATGATACTGCAGGATTAGGGATACATATTTTTTCACATAACCAGAAACCATTCCTTTTGAAATAGGCTTAACAGCTTATATTGTGATGGTGTAGTTTTAAAAAAAACAAAAATTTACTAGCTGGACATGAGAAAAATGCACTGGCTATGTTATTAATATGTGTGGGGGGGGGGTCAAACATGAGCGATTTTCTTTAATTTAAAAATTAACAAAAAAGAAAATATGATTTTTTTTGTTTTTAAAATTACAATT